AATTTCCGTGAAAGTTCATCAAATTGTCCATTAATGATGGTGACATCTATGCATTCTATATTATCTCTGCAATTAAAGAATAATCTGCACAAAGAGAAACCAAAAGTCAGAACAAATGTGTTAAATGAAGGTAAACGTGTAAAAATGAAACGATAAACAACTTCAAATTCTATTAAAAAGACGTACGAAATGATCTACCGAACTGTACAAGTGAAATCGACAATTGAAGAAAAATCAGCATAAAAAGTTTCAAAGCACTACACAATTTCGTTACCGTAATATTCAATTAATCGGAAATTATAAATAACTTTTAACATAGTATGTTCTCTTTAAATGTTTATATGCTATTATTTCTTTAATTGTTGAAAATTATGTGTAATAATTATGTGTAATAATTATGTGTAATAATTTGGTTAAATCTTAACCTTGAATTGAAGCTAAAAATGCACGTATTCTATTATATTCTTATTTTAAAAATTCACAATACAAACACAAATCTAACAACTATTGATTTAAATTTTTACCTGAGAATTTCTGGATGACACTTCTATCTAGATAATTCTGCTGGATAACACTTCCTTTTTTACAGATAAGATATGCTTCTTTCCGCCATTAAAGGTCTGCTCTCCCGCTTAAAAATCGATCATGAGAAATATCGATTACGTTCGAGAATCGTAGGAAGTGTATTACTTATTTCACCGCGTAGTGGCGCTGTAATCTTTAACTAATTTACTAAAATCCAATACGCGCGCAGTTTATTCCAAGTTAATATTTCACACGAAATGAGACATTCTTGAAAGGAAACGAAAATATTTATACACTAGATAAAAAATGGTAAATATTTTAAACTGTTCGTGAAAAAAATTGTAGAACAATTAACTTGGTTTTATTTTAAAGAGTGAAGTCTTCACTTTAATAATCCCGAGTTTGTTTCGTTCAAAGATATTTATTTTTACATCATGCAACAAGTGTAAATGTAAGAATATTTTTCTTCTCAACAATTGTAAAAATTCAAACATCTCGCTAAAGAGAAGTTTTTCCATCACTGAACAATTTTTTTTCGTGAAAATTGAAATCTTCCCTTTAGAGCAGAGGAACTTCCCTATATATATAATTATAATAGTTGCATTTATAAAAAGTTGCAATTATAAAAGTTTTCTATGCTAAGTAGATTCAGGCAATTTCGCGAATCAGTAAAACGAATATATATGCAAAATATACATGTATTCACATTTAACTAATATTCACATTTAACCAACAAATTCTTTTATAATATATTGCTCACTATTCTAAATTGTAAACTCGATAATAGAAATACAAGTCTAAAAGCTATTGATTTTAGTCTTTACCTGAAAATTTCTAGATGATGCTCCCTTTTGGTGTGTTTCGTGCCTAACGAATACTTCCATATTTCTACGTCACATCTCAGTACTATAGATCGATCGCGAGATACATATATCAATATATTGATATATTCAAATCGATTCGAAAATCGCAATGTATTGCATATTTTACTATTAACATCTAATCTTAACCTAACAATCATTGCGCGCGCATTTCGTACGAAAAGATATATTGTCTAACTCTATTCTATTCGTTTATTGAATGGCATAACGTCTGTAATTTTATTTTTTGAACGAATAAGCGTATTTTAATTTTAAGTTACCGAGAAAAGAACTTATTGTCAGTGGAATCTTCTTCATATTACATCATATCTACGTACACCATATATTTTTATTTAAACTATATGTATACCATATAAACTATAAACTAAATTTTTAAATAATTTTTGCTATATTGAAATGAATATGGACGGAACGCGACTGTATGGATCACAGACGAATATCGTACCAGCAAAATGTGTAGGTACGATGATCGATAAATAATAAAGTCACCGTATTACAAAGGAAATTTTATATTTTATTTTAACGTTTACATGATACAGAATTTAATGCATGAATTATGACTGACGACTGTTTATTAATTTCTTATTTACTGTTATATATATTCTCGGCAATTTGTTTGTAACTTGGTAATCAATAATTTGTTGGTATCTCCATGATAACTTTTTATAAGACTGAATAGATGTCGCTACAAATGCAAAACATCTACCGACATCTATTGATGACATTTATCGAGTCGATAATATTGAAAATGACAGTAAAATAATAAGATTTTCGAGATCTCAAATAATTAAATCAATCGAGGTTGATTTCTAATTTACTCGTCGACCATGTCTACTTTGTGGTCTATCAATTGTAAGATAAATCATAAATACATATGCGCTCATGACTGATGTCAGAAGTAATGAGTAATTGCTTGAACGTACGTGACGCATGTGACTGTACAACCATTGTCCTCTCACCAATACAAGAAAATGTATTGTGATTGGCTGTATTTTTGACAAGGTATGAATATATGTATACATATACAATATAATTGCATAACATTAACAAATTATTTTTTTTTGAAAATCAATTAATTAAACAGTAAATGTCTAATCCATTTCGTTGTATGAAATCAAAGCGCGGATAATTTTCCTTTCAATGAAAATATTATTCAATACTTTAAAAAATAACATCAATATATATGTATGTTAATGTTATACAATTGACATATATAAATATATCTATTATCAGGAACACATGCAAGGGCGATAATTTTTCTTTTAAAATAATTTCATTGTTTACTGCGTTATTTTTTTATGGTATTGGCAAAAAAAAAAATGATTTTTATCAATACACAACGAGATTTCGCCAATATTACTTTTGCCTTATATGACAAAATTTCGTATTCGTTATATTGTTGTATCACATAGAAAACGAATAAATTTGCGCCAAATTTACACGATTGGAGCTAACCTATTTCATTTAAAAAACGACGTTGCATCATTTCTTATAAAATTCCTTTGCAATCATGAGACGATGACGTTTGACATGCAACTCAAAATGATAAATGCCAATGTTTACGAGGCAGTCATACTTTAAAACAGAATCTTGATATCTATTTTGAGTTATATAAAATGTGTTAATCGTTTATTTATATCACAACTGTGCTGCATTTTCAGCTAACTGGTCACTATAACAGTGTATAATTTAAAATGATATACTAAATTAGAACTGTTTAGATGTGTTTACGAAATAATGGAAGAGATTTGGTTCCATCTATCAAATCAATTTGAGACACTTCAGGTAATTGTAATTTTCAATAAAAGTAATATTTGTTTCTTTTTTCTTTTTTTCTTTTTTTTTTAATTTATATATTAGCAATATATATATTATTACATTTGTTCCCAAATTAAAAAAATATAATTGATATTATATTCCCACTTTCTCTTTTCAATATCATACATTAAACTTTTTTTGGGGGGAAAAGATTCAAACCTCGTTACTTGTACAACAAGGGCAACAATGGATTGTAACATTGTTAACTCAAGCACATCAAGTTTTTTACAAGTTACACGAGAACCAGAACATGCAAAATGTCAAGGACATTGTACAACATATACTTATTTGGATTAAAAGTGCTTGGGAACAATTGCAATTTCAATATTATAATGCACACATTAATGTTAAAGGTCTTTACAAACAAATAAAGAGTTTATATAACAATGAAGGTATCAAAATAAGTTTAGACATTTTATAACTTAATATTAATATTAATTGAAACATAAAAAATACCATAGAAATATAATCCTCCTTTTATATAAAAGGATTTTTTTTTTTTAGTGTCAAAAAGAGAACTTGCATTTTGTTTAGCAGGTTTAATTGTTGGTACTTTAATTGGTTATTATATTGGAATCAATTGGGGGCATGTATCTCATCATATGCATCATATAAAAGCTGTAATATGTCATCATTACATTGGTATTGAGGTATTATATTAAATTATATTAATACAATATGAAAATAAATAACTTTCAGTTAATATAACTGAATAATATAAACAACTAAATTAATATTACTGAAGAAAATATATTTTTATTATATATTTATTATATATTTTATTATAATAATACAGGGTGTATCTATGATAGATGATGCAGAAATGCCTATAATTGAAAGATCTAATGAATTATTGGTACAAGTTAAAGCAGCTTCTGTTAATGTTGTTGATACAAAGATTTGTTATGGTTACTCCAAAATTTACAGAAGACTTCTTAATTCTGGTGTAAGTAAATTACAACTTTGTCATAGTATGTTATAAAATTTTATTTATTCATTCTTAGAAACACAAAGAACTACCAGTAACATTAGGCAGAGATTGCACTGGAATAGTAGTAGGTATAGGACAAAATATTATTAATTTTGACATTGGAGATGAAGTATTGTTAGCTGTACCTTCATGGGCTCCTGGTACAATGGCAGAATATATAGTTGTCCCAGAAACTCAAGTAGTTAAACGACCAAAACTTTTTACTTTTGAAACATTTGCAAGTCTCCCCTACAGTGGATGCTTAGCTTGGGATGCCTTAGTTAATAGATCTGCAATTCAAGAAGGCAATGCAAAAGGAAAACGGTATAATAACTAAATAAAAAAATATCAGTTATTGTTATATATATAAAAAAACTTTTTAAATTAAATATTTTATAGAGTACTTATATATGGTGCAAATACCCCTGTTGGTTGTATTTTAACTCAATTAGTTAAGTTATGGGGTGGATATGTAGTTACAATGTCTAAACCAAATGCAATTCCTGTATCAAAAGCTTTAGGAGCAGATGATGTTATACCACTAGATAATTCAGATGTAGAAAAAGAGTTACAATTACACGATAAGTATGTAAAATATAAACATTATTTAATAGAAATTATATTAAATTTACTTGTGTTAAGAAGTTGATATATTTTCAGATTCGATTCTATATTTTATACTGGAGGGCAACCAATTGACGAACGTATATTAAAGCAGCACTTAATGCCTTATGGTTCTTATGTCTCAACTGTTCCCGAACAATTAACATCTGATTCATTAGGTTTCATATTTGGAAGTATATTTGCTGGATGTGTACGAATAAAGTTACTAGTTCAGGTATATAAAATTATGTACTTAATAATTTGATTCCAAATTCGATATTTGTATGAAGTTTATTCTAGTACGTGCTTGGATTTAATATGCATCAATGGAAAGAAGGTTCGAAGATTAATGCAACGTACTTGCAGGCATTGTGTGATTTAGTTGACGCTAATCAATTACAGATGGTTGTAGACAGGATGTATGGACCTTACAATATCGAACAAGCATTGTATCATATATTAGATCCCAATGCTATTGGTAGTACTATAATAACATTTCAGTGACAATTGAATGTTATATGTAGAAAAGATTTCGGTTATATAAATATCAGTTTCTTTTATTAATATATATTCTAAATAATATCCCTATCATCTAATCACTGCCAAATACCATCCAACATTCAAATAAACTTTAATAAAGACATATGATGCAAAAACCAAGACTGAATATTGTAATAAAATTTAATTTATATATGCAATTACATAGTTTATATAATTTCAAATTGTTATTTACTTGTGTATATATATATAATATATATATATATATAAATGAATATATATATATATAAATGAAAAAAAAACTATGTAACAAAATATACCAGGAAATTAGACCATAAATATTGGGTGGTATATGTATAGATATGTAAAATAAAAAAATATTACTTGAATCTGTATAATTTTATCAAATAAAACTGTTATATTGTAATATACTTAGATTTATTTGCAATAATTTTATACATACATGATAAATTATTCGAGTCCATTATATTTGTATAAATATTCATATATAACTTGTAAAAATGAAGAAATTATGAATATTTCAAACAATTATTTTGGTGGTCTTCCACGTGGTTTTCCTGCTGTCCCCTTTTTATTTTTTTTATTTGTTGTCTTTGAGTCTTCCACCTATATTAACACAAGAAAATTTAATTAATCAGAAAAAAAGAATGATTTTAGAAACCATTGTTTATACTTACTTTACGCTTCAAAGGATTTGGACTTGATAGTACTTTAAAGAATGTATCTAGTCGTCCTTGAGTAGAAGTATTTCGTGCTTTATGCAGTTTCTTTGCGCCATTTCTTACTCTTTCCTCATTAAATTGCTTATCACCACATAGATATTTTACTAACCCTTCCTCATCAGGTTCTGTCCATTTCAGCTTATGCAAAAATTAAAATAATTATAAATATTTTTAATCATCTATTCCTCATGTTACACATACAATATTATATTTACATCAATCGTTTCAGGATCTATTATTTCAGGTTCTTGAAATAATAATCGAGCTTGTTTATAATTCCAATCTTTTGGAATGGGAAACTTCTTAGTATCCAAGTTTTCTATGATTTTCTCAAGTGACCTATGTGTTTTAATTAACTCTATAGCTCTTTTTGGTCCAACTCCTTTAATGCTATTTGTATAATCACAACCCAACATTATACAGAGGTCAATAAACTGTAAATAAGCGAAAACAACAAACAATTAATTCCTAGAAAATAATACTTATAATTGTCTCTTGAATACAATTTTTACGTACTTCATTGTGATTTAATTCAAGGCCTTCTAATACTTTATCAAAATGGAATTCTTGTATAGGCATTTTTTTTGCTTCGCTAAATGTTAATCGTCTGAGCAAAACATTGCATCCAAAAGTAAGTGCATCCATATCTTCTGTAGCAGTTGCATAAACCTTACCAGCCTTTACCAAAGCAGCACATTGAGCTTCAGCTTCACAGGGAGCCTATAAAGGAGCCAATATATTGCAGTGAAATTTATAAACAAACATATCTTATTTTACTTACATCAATGAAAGGAATGCCCATTAACTGCAATAATTGTTTAGCTTCTTCTGCATGTGTTTTTGTAACTTTTACTAATCTCCTATTAAATTTTTCTACATCCTCTGCATTTCCTAGAAGATATACGATATCTTTTAAAATGATACATAAATTGATGTAATAATCTTTACTTATTATACATATATAATAAACCAAATTAAGGAAAAATATAAATCATTTTTTAGATAAAATAATCAGATATTGGGAGTACCAGCTTCCTCTGCTGCCTGTAACAACTTCTGTGCTTCGTCTCTTCTTTCAGCTCGCTTAGCCAATTCTCCGCCTTTTAGATCTGGTGGTTTTCCATCAAATACATATGCAGGCTTTATTCCTTGTTCTACTAGACGTATTGTTCGATAAAATGTACCCATTAAATGACTGTAATATTGAAAAAATTAAGTAATATAAAATTATATATATATATATATAGTCATTTATCAAAGTATATACCTTGTTGTTTCACCATCTACAGATGTAAGCTGAGCTCCTTCACTCCGTACAGCAATAAGAAATTGATATAAACACATAGATGCATCTATGGCCACTTTGCGACCTAGAAAGATGAGACTGTAAAATAGTTATCCTCTTCAATGAATTTTGATCATCATGTGATTCAAAACTCTGAAATATTCTAATGAAATGTACCAAAATAATGCTTCAATTCTTGTTCTTTAATGGCCCCTGGCGATATATCTGCTATTAATTTTGCTAAACCTAAAATACCCATGATAATATCACTCAATCACCCAATTTTAGTCCCGTTAAATGAATGGTATACGAAACATATAATTGAAACGCATAGATAGAAGAGATTTCGCGCCAATATTATAGTAACCATCAGTTTGTTCATCAGATATTGCGAAAATTAAAATTACTAAAACATTTACTATATACAAATCTTTATTTTACTAATTTAAAAAAAAAATTATTCTATTAAGATGATTATTGTGTAATATTACAATATTTACGTCGAATATTATAATATTTATGTTGATCTTAAATAAAATCATGAAGTTTTATATAATGAATTGGATTCATTATTGCATATTTGAAATTAAGAAGATATTTTGATAGATAATAATATATATCTTGCAATAATTATGATATTATTATAATAATGTCAATAGAAATACGTCATTAAATTAATACTTTATAATTTTATTTTGTGTCGCTATATATATATCAATGTACGTAAGTATATACATATCTACAGTACATTGTTCCACGTGGTTGAAGTATTAGAAGTTGAATGTGGTTTTTGTGATATATTTGTTATGGGAAATGGATAACAATTGCGATTTAATAAAAACAATTGAAGATGATCAAGAAGTGCCAAATTTCTCTGAAGATTCTGATATCGAAGATGATGTAAGATATAATTAAACAAATTATGTTACATTATTACAACTTTATGCGGTTAAAAATGATTATTTTTCGTATGATTCTTAATTTGGAAAGATGAAAATCTTGGAATTAATATAGTTTCAGCCTAGGAAACAAAAAAAGAAAGAAAATAAAGATTTTGATAACAACTTTCAATTTTTAAGTGATATTTCCGATTATAATAAAGATACATGGAATGACTTAAGCAAATACATAAAAAGGAAAGCTAAAACAAAACTTGATGACAAAATTAAAAGAATTAGACGAGGGTCCGAACATGAGGCACAAGTATGTATATATAATTTTGTGTTATTTCTTTGTAAATTTTAATTATTCTAATAATAAATATAATAATTACCATTGTGTATTATTTTTCCAGAATGGAATTGATAGTGAAACCAATGTAGATTTACCTGAGATTAAAAAAGAAGATAGTGAGTTATTTTTATCAGAAGACGAACTTAAAAAAGGTAACAATACTTCTTTAAATTTTGTTTTATGTTGTAAAATTATAAGTATGTTTTATTTTAGATATATTTAAGACTAAAGAAAAGAAAAGTAAAAAGAAAAAGAACATTAAAGAAAATGACGAAGAAACAATCAATTTTGAAGAATATTCAAATATAGAATCTCATGCAACATTTTATCAAATGAATTTATCTCGTCCTTTATTAAAGGTATTATGTAAATACATTACATTATATAGACTTTGAATTTAATATTTCATATATTATCAAATATTAATGTATATTCTTGATAGGCTATAACAGCTATGAATTTTGTGCATCCTACACCTATACAAGCTGCTACTATTCCTGTTGCATTAATGGGTCGTGACATATGTGGTTGTGCTGCTACAGGTACTGGTAAAACTGCAGCTTATATGTTGCCAACTCTAGAAAGATTACTGTATAGACCATTAGATGGTCCTGCTATTTCTCGTGTTCTTGTACTTGTTCCAACAAGAGAACTTGGTGTGCAAGTGTATCAAGTTACAAAACAATTATCTCAATTTACAACAATTGAAATAGGATTATCCGTAGGTGGTTTAGATGTGAAAACTCAAGTACGTAGATTATATTGTAACAATATTATTAAATGAATATTATACAAATCAGTAATTTTTTATACTAATTTATTACTATATTTATATTAGGAAGCTGTATTAAGGAAGAATCCAGATATAGTAATAGCTACTCCAGGAAGATTAATTGATCATTTAAGAAATACACCATCATTTTCATTAGATAACATCGAAGTGCTTATATTAGATGAAGCAGACAGGTAAATAAAAAAAGAATATCTAATTTATAGTCCTTTTTCGTATTATAATTTGAAGATTATATAATTTATTCAAGGATGTTAGATGAATACTTCGCAGAACAGATGAAGTACATAGTAAAACAATGCTCCAGAAGTAGACAAACAATTTTATTCTCAGCTACTATGACCGAAGAGGTGAAAGATTTGGCTGCTGTATCTTTAAATAAACCTGTTAAAGTTTTTGTAGACAGTAATCAGGATGTCGCTTTTAATTTACGTCAAGAATTTATCCGGTAAAGTAATATCTTATGCAACTAATTATGTTTATATTTTTATTTAATGTTTAAATTTTTTTATTATATAAATGATACGAAAGGATACGAAAAGAAAGAGAAGGAGATCGAGAAGCAATTTTGGCAGCCTTAATTTGTAGAACTTTTCATGATCATGTCATGGTTTTTGTACAAACCAAAAAACAGGCTCATAGATTACACATTTTGTTAGGATTATTAGGTATCAAGGTATTTAAAATAGTTTAATAAATATTGATGAATATGAATGAAGATTTATAATAAAAAAAGATAATTTTTTTAATTGTCATTTTAATACATAATTGGTAGGTCGGAGAACTTCATGGTAATCTTACACAACCACAACGTCTAGAAAATTTAACAAAATTTAAAAACGAAGAAATAGATATTTTGTTAGCAACAGATGTTGCTGCAAGAGGTTTAGATATTAGTGGGGTAAAAACTGTAATTAATTTTGTAATGCCAGCTACTATGCAACATTATATTCATAGGTATTTTATTTGTATGTAAAGTTTTACAAATATTTGTTATAAGAAAAAGCTGATTACTTGATAATGCATTTGTTAGAGTTGGAAGAACAGCAAGAGCTGGTCGTGTTGGAGTATCAGTATCATTAGCTGGAGAACAAGAACGTTTGTTAGTTAAAGAAATTATTAAAAATGCAAAAAATCCAGTAAAGAATCGAATTATACCTCCTGATATAATTCACAAATATTCTAAAAAATTACAATCTCTTGAATCTGATGTTGACAAAATTTTAGAAGAGGAACGAAATGAAAGAGAATTAGCTAAGATAGAAAATCAAGCAAATCGAGCAGAAAAATTATTAAAGAACGACAATAATAAAGAAGCTCAAAGAACTTGGTTCCAAACTCAAAAAGAAAGAAAAGAAGAAAAAGGTAATTTTAATTTTTTCTTTTTTATCTATTAATTGTGGTTCTATAAAATTTCACACACAATATAGATGTTATCATAATAATTTGTATCATTCTTAGAGAAATTATCATTAACTGAGAAACAACCAAATATAAATAAGAAGAAGAAACAACAAGATACAAAACCATTAAATGTAGTTGAAGAAAAGAAAGAAAAATCTAAAAAACCTAAAAAGGAAACACCAGAGGATAGAACCAAAAGAGAATTAGAAAAAATTGCGGCCTATCAAGCAAGATTAGCTAAAAAAAAGAACAAACAAAGTAAAATTCGAACAATTGTAGAGGATGATAAATTTGCATCTAATAGAAGAGGTATATTCTAGTAAACAAGTAAACTGTTCTTTTTAGCTACAAAAAATTGAATCTCTTTTTTGCTTATAATTTCAATTCTATTTTAGTATTACAAAAACGGTCAAAATCTTCATTTGCTGCTGACTTAACAAATACAAGTAAAAAAGCTGTGAAAAAAATGCGTTACGAGTAAGTATATTAGAATAAATTAAAATGAGGTATTACAAATTTTTTTAAATTGTTTTTATAAACATACATATATAATATTATTTTCATAAGCAACTATTTCATTTATTTTAGGGCAAATGTTAAAAAGAATCAGAGTAAAAGAAAAAGTATAAAAAATTTAAGCGTAGGGAAGAAGGATAATAGAAAAAATCTTAAAAAACGTTAAATTAAATTTTGATATCTGTAACTATACGTTATTAAATACATACCATTTTACTTAATTTGTTTTATTATAGAACCGTTACAATGCGTCACTTATGTCTCACAGATTGACAGATGAATAGCACTGATTAATTGTTTTTTTTCATCAGAATATGTATACTTTGTAGTCTATAACCTGTTTGAAAAAATTGCAGTACCGTGCAATTAAATATTTATAAAAACAGATATTTGATAATAATGCTACAAAATACAATGTATTTTAATTCAAAACAATTTAAACTTACAAATTATTTAAAGAAATATCAAATTAAATTTTAAGAAGCTGAAACAGTAACAGTACACTGTTGATGACTTATGAACAATGCTTTGTACATGACAAATAAAAAATGACTTCTATGAATGTTTAAAAAATTAAAAATTGTAAAATTTGCATTGTACTGTAATTTCAGTGAAGAGGTAATAGGTATGTGTTAATTCTATAATGTTTATATAATAAGAACAAACATTCATCACCATTCACAGCCTCATACATAATTCTCATTCTCATCTTAAAGTTTAATACAATTTAAAGCTTAAGACTAAGAATTCTAACGATGATAAAGGAAATTTTATAAAACCTAGGCCCATTTTAAATTATTTGCATGCTATTCAAATTTGTATCCAATTTCCTGATCTTTTCTAAAAAATGTAAGATTATTTATTTGTAATTCTAAATATTAAGTAAATTCTATAAATAAAATTTTACACTTAATCTATATTTATTCAGAAGTTTTATTTATTTTTGATTGTTATATTTGTGAAATAAAAAATATTTTATATATTGAATATATTACGTTTAAAACAATAGGTAATATATATAATAACAAAAAACATTTATATATGTAACATTACTATTACATAAATATTTATAAATGCAATGAATGTTTTTCAACATCTTATAAAATACAAAATAAAAATATGAAGTTTTTTAAGTCATTCAAAATATGTATACAATTCTCCGAGATAACGGAATAATACTTTTACTACATTTTTTGTACAGATAAAAATGTTTTGGATACAAATTTGAATTGAAGTGATACAAAAATTTATAATACATATACAATAATGACAGTAATGAAAAAATAACTGCCACATTCGAGAATGATAAACTTCAACTGATTATTAAATTGGTGATGCACTGTTGATACTTTTGTATAACAAAAATTTTTACGATTGTTTTTTATATGAATGCGCACTATCATCGAAGTCGAAGATATTTATATGTATACATGTATTAGATATTGTTGAAGTATTGAGAAGGACACCTTATCTGAAATAAATTAATAGTTAGTGGCCGTGCGCTGACCGAATCTCATTTAAATTAATTTAGAATTAAAATATAAACAAATAATTTCATAAAATACCTATCTTCTCAAAAAATAATGATTATCAAAATTGTCATTTTTTAATAAAATAATAGTAATAAGGTAATAATATTAATAATAATATAATATAATAATAATGATAATCGAATTAATAGAAACAAACTTTGGATCACAAAGCCAATTGACACACACTCTTTTGTCTAGTACACGATGTTCACAGAAATCCAACAACGTCATGTTGTTCTCTTCTGCGTATAAAGATTTAATGAAGTGTATTGTTTCGATATATAATAAATATGATTATTTTTTACTGAAAACTACAATTAAATTCGATGATATCGTGTATGGATTTTACTATTTGAAATGGTTTACAAAAATTTTGTATAGTTTCATTAATCTATGAAGAAAAATGCGCATGAAATAGTATAAACATTTGTATTCATCAATGCAAAAGTGAACAATATAACAATTGTCAGATGTTTCATAAGAAAGAAAGACTTTTAATTGGGAAATATTTTTCAAAACTTATATAAAAAAGATAATGGTCATACAGTTATAAAGTTTGAAGGATTGTATTTTTTATCATTAAATGTGCCATTGCTTTTCTTAATGTATAGAGAAATTAAAACCAAAATTTATGTTTCATTTCATCATTAAAACAAGAATATCTTTTACATAGCCAAATACTAAATTTTTAATTTTTTTAAGAATGCAACTCCACAAAGTTCTTTGACTTGTAAGCTTATATGTATTAATTATTTGACGTTACTGTATCATTATCTTAACATCTTACTTTCTAAACATACGCGAATGACAGGTTTATTAATTGTTGTACATAACCAAAATATTCTGTTTTCTAATTTGTAAAGTATTTTTTAGATTCTTTAATTCTTATGATCACCACGTCCTTTAAGTCTTTCCCCTATTCCTAACATCCCCTTGAATACAGTTCATTCACTTAATTATTTATTTACTTTATCTGATTCTCTTAATGCCCTCTTTGCTGGTGGTTCTTCAATCTGAAAAATTATAGCTTTACTATACATCAAATTGCAATTACAAATATATTTTACTTACTTCTTCCTCTAAACCAGGTAATTGAATTCTAGTTTCCGATGCTTCTGCTGGCTGTAAGAAAATGTTTAATACATTTATATGGCATTTTATATTTATGAAATATGAAATATGATATATTATGAAATAAAAATAAATGTTTGATATAAATATATTATAAATAATTTTACCTGTGCATCAATACATTCCACTTCTCCAATTTGCAGCTTGAAATTACATATACTCATAGTTTTTTTTAAGACTATTATTTACACATACACACACACACATCATTCATAAGAAAATTATAAATTAAATCTACATCAATTAACAGTCTAAATCATATTTTGTGTGAAAGCTATGTATTACTTTAATTGTCTTACCCTTGCATCAGTTTCATTTGGCCCAATGCCCACTTCCTTTTGTTGTTTAGACTTAGCTCTACGTTGTGGTCTTTCACTGACAGAATGTGTATTATGAAGAGAACCTTTTCCTTTAGGATTTGACATATTTATTTGCATTTCAGCAGGTAAGTAGTTCCTAGTATTAGCCAATAATTCATCTGCTCGTTTGAAGTACATAGTGGGAATTCGTGTTTCACTTGGGAATTCTTTCATGTCGAAATTTGTTGTTTTTGTGTATATTACATTCATAGCCAAATCGCAAACAGCCCATAATTTCTGCAAATACATAGGAAATATAAACTATTTATACTTAATGCATAAATACTAAATAATTATTATAATTACATAATTCATGTTATTATCTTCAGGTTTTAAAGCATCTTTATGACTCTTCATTCGTTCTATAAGATTTTTATAAAAACCATAACAATAATATTCATTCTTTGTTATAAGTGGTTCTAATATAAACCATAAACATTGCTGTATTACTTTCAACTGATTAATCATTAGATGACTTGTAAATTCTGGATCATGTGCAAGAATAGGGACTGCAAATACTAACATGTAGTCAGGAAGAATGTGAGGCAGTTGACCTGTAATAACAATATAATAACAACTAAATAGAATATTTTATATTTATCTTTTTCCGCAATAACATATATTTAATAATAAAAAAATAATGTTAAACAATATTTCGATAATGCCTTACTATTTAGTTTCTTACCCATGGCCCGTTCCACTGTACCCAATGACAATGTTTTAACATAATCCCTTCTCTTATTTATATCGGTTTGCATATAAGTTTTTAAAACACATTTTAATCTTTTATCCTGTTCCTTGCCAGCAAGAGCATAGTAGCCCATAAAATCTAGTGGCAAACACTTATTTGGAATTCCTCTTCCAAGTCCTTTGTGTAATTTGCTACCAAAAGCTTCTCTCACTTGTGGAACTTCGTCCTATAAAAAATATATTTTTATATTTTCTTTAATAAAATTTATTATAATTTATTATATTATAATTAATAAGAATTAAAATTTATTATAACTTATTATTATAATTTATTATAATATTAAAAGATATTAATAAATCATAATTTATGAAAACATACCACCATGAGTTGAGACAAATTGTAGAATTGCTCTGCCGTAAATTGATCACCAACACCTTTTTGTTCGCAAATCTTTAGCATTGAACAGCCAGCCTGTAATCGTAACCAACTCATTTCTGCTCTACTTAAACGACTCTGCTGCAAAAGATCTCCTTTGTTTACTACAAATGCATTCAACATTCTAAATGTTTTTTGCGCAGAAAGTACGTCAGTCTTCAATCCTAGTAACCAGCGGGCCATACACTTTAACCCTTCTAATCTACAACGTGTTTCCTCAGGTAATTGATCTTCTCTGCACCAGTCTCCTTCAATAGTATCAGCAGTTTGTTCACTGCTTTCTTTTACTAATAACTCCTTGACTATCTATAAATTTGTTACACTTAAGCTAAATCAATCATGTTATAATTTTAAAATAATAGAAATTGAACAGAATTTACCTTCCTAGATACCATATTTTTTATTTGTACTTGATACTTTTCTGGTAAATTATAAGCTATATGACCTAATGTAACTATAGATGTTCGATAATATTCTGAAGTTGGTGTAAGACTATTTTTAATTCTTTCAATAATTTCAGGAAAAATAGTATCATGGATATTAGTCATATTAACAAATAAACACCTAACAGCTTGTTTTGCTTGTTTCGGTGTTCCTGTTTCTGCGAAATTTTTACATATTGGAACCATAAGATTCATAATATCCGGTGCAACATCACATAAAGGTTTATATTTTCCTAAAAATGTGAAAATCGAAAGAACTAATGGTGCTACCATTTCATCCTCCAATTGCAAAAGCTGGACAAGTTGCATGAGAATATCATTATGAAGAAAATGTGGACCAAATACGAATGAAAGCATCTGGAAGAAAAACATTATATATCTATTTAAAAATGAATAACGCAAATAATGAAAATGCTTTTATAAAATAAAATTATAGACATACCACAAGTAACCTCAAACCCTTTTCACCTGCATTATTTGGATTAAGCCCAACTTCTTCTATTACATTGCCCCCTTTTAAACAGTCTAATACATATCCAATTAAGACCTGTTATAATGTAAACGTAAGATATTTATAATGTATATATATATATATATATATTGTGTGTGTGTGTGTGTGTGTGTGTGCGCGCACATACGAAAAAATAGTCATATATACTTACCCTAATTGCTTCTTCATCAATCATTACAGAACTGACTCTTTCTAATAACATTTTTATTGTGTTATAGTACAAATTTGTCATGACAGGTTGACCTAATTTTTTAAGAACCATACTTATTGTATCTGCGCATTCTTTACAAGAAACATTTGGTTGAACTATTGTTTCCATTCCTTGCAACAAAGCTGAATCTTTTTTCATGTGAGCACTAAACTTCTGTAAAAATTCTTGCACCTTCATAGGATCTGGTAGAAAGCGAGATATTTGATGAATTTTAGTTACAACTTCAACCATAGCATCTGGCTTTTTTACAATTTCTAACCATTCAACCACTGCCCTTCGCACACTAAAATTTCATATAAAAATACAAAATGAATATACCAAATAATATATAAAAAAATAAAAAAAATGTACTTACGCAAGTTGATGCTTTTGTAATTCAACAAATGCTTTAGATGCATGGTCATCAATTGTACCTAATAAATGATACAATTTTTTCATTCTTTCACCAGCTGGTAGTTGATAAGGTACTAAGCAAGTGTTTAATAATCTTTCTACCAATAATCTGTCTTCCATTCCTGCCATATAATAACCATGTAATATTTTATCTTTTATCCAAGTAACAGCCTTTTTTGTAGCTTGCGGTACATCCGCATCATTCAAATGTTTCTTATATATCATTGCTAATCCTGCCATTGCTTCTTTCCTGATTTTAAACTGAAAATTGAATCAATTATTAATATTTTATATTTTATAGTTCACATAAATATAATGATTTATACAAAAAAATAACATGCCTTTTTATCTAATGTTCTTTCTTTAACAAATTCTAACAAATCTTCACTGTCTGACACTACTTCAAAATCCCTCCTGGCAGTGGTCACTATAGCCATAACAACTTCATATCGAACACTTTCGTCCGCATCGTGTTGTCTTAACTTTAAAGTATCAGTAATATCTTTCCTCAATTCGGGATGGTTTAATAAAAAATGCATTGAATACTGCACACATTTGATGCGAATTGATACACTGATGTCATTAAATCTTCCTAAAAATGCGCGCCATAATTGCGTATGTTGCACAGCTAATTGAGATCCTTTCTCAGAAAACATTCTTGCTAACAATGCTACAGCACCCAATCTTTCGGATTCTGAGGAAGATTTTAGTTTACATTCTAACTGTGGTAGGACGGACAACAAGACGCTTGGACATATATGATTCAATTCATAAATTAAATCGTACACTTTTTTGCAAATTTGTAAGCTTTTTTCTTCCTTGCCCAAGATTAATACATGATTAAAGAACTGTAAATTTTGAAATATTAAATGTTTCGTATTATTAACCTTTGTCTTGTGTTATAGGTTTACAAACAAAATTAATTTTTGTTTTATTCTACTCACTGCTTGAATATATGGTTCTAATGTATCGCTACATTTAATTACTAGTTCTTTTGCAAGTAAATATGCATTCTTCTTCTGTGTCTTGTTTGGCTCTACAATATTCATAAGTATGATGTCTAAAAGTTCATTGCTAACAATGTCTGATTCTGTAATAAGTGGACATAATACATCTAACATAAAACTTTTGACTTTTCCAGAATGTTCATCGCTGAAATCATTAGAATCACAAAAGGCTTTAATACTTATTTAGATATATTTAACTATATTTGTTAACTATTCATTTATGTATTGTACTGTATAATCATGTTATACGCACTTTACTATCCTAAACATAAGAGAAAAAAGTGCACAGAAGATTTCTTGGCAATCCTCTAATTCAAAACACATATTAAATGATTTCACATATGCTAAATTTTCCAAAAGATAAAAATATCTTTTAAAAGCAGGATCTTTTGGATCTTTTAATCCAGCTAACTGTTTAATCAGAAACAAAAATATTGTTTTGACCTATGACAGATAAAAGTTTAATTTACTATTAAATTCTAGTAATAAAACGAAATAGAAATATTTGTAAAATATATTCTGTATTTAAAACTTTATAATTAATTAACTTCTATTACCTGCTCTGCATCTTTATATGGAGCTTCTGGAGCATAAACTCTCAAAACATCGGCAATACAACACGCAATCAGAAGTTGTACATCTTTACTTTGATGCATCAAAAAATGTTCTTCAGCCAAATGTAATGCAAGTGGTATATATTGTTGATACATTCCTTCATCTTGGCCCATTGCTTGTAATGTATGAGCTAATGTCTATTTAATAAATTTTAATATGAATTATTTTTGCTTATTTCTTTTATTGTTATATATATATATTTTTTATTGTTATTATATATATAAAATATGAAAAATAAGATATGTATAAGACATTTTATCAGATATACCTTTAATCTCCTAATAAGTTCGTCTGGACCCAGATCTTCTGTGACAGATCTGCACCCTTGCGGGTAAACTATTTCTGACATGTTTGCTAAATGATTTAACCAAATGTGAAAAACTTTATATTCTTAAAATAATCTAGAACACAGTCCAAATTCTGAAATGTTATATATATATCTGATTAGTTTTTTAAAATATTATATTGAATGTTTTAATTAATAAAATAATTCTATTAAAACGAAACAATATTTTCTAATAATTACATCGTACTATTCTTGAAGCTATATATTTTACAATATAAGTTATAACTCAATATGATAATTTACAATATAATTATAATTTTTGTATAACGCTTAGTCAATTATATAACTAAATAAGGAAATATAAATTTATGATATTAAAATGAAAGAAGTAAATATAAAATCAAAAATAAAAAAAAAGATTATTAATCAGAAAGAAAAGCGAACATCAATATTTATATTATTATTAAACTAATAACTTTTATTTTTATATGCCTTTATAATTTTAATATTAACACAAATAATAAGGACAAGTTTCTACATATGCGGAACAAACATCAATCATATAACAGAAATATGACTTAAATCAATTAATTAAAAGATAATATAACATATTAATTTATATTTACTAATATTAAAATAAGATATAATTATTTTAAAACGAATTATAATGAAACATCATAACAGGTTATGTCTCCGATTCGTGCATAAATATAAGAAAACAATGTAAACAATATTACTATTTAGCACACTTACAGAGATAAAGAATTTTAAAATACATTATTGTACAAAAGATGTTAAATATTATGTTTATTAGAAGACGTATTACCTCAAGATATGCATAGGCACCACAAGGCCTGTGACACTCAAAATATCAATAAAGCAAATATATGTGATGGAACACGGCACTATCTTAGTTTTTGGAGTTCACACACTTTCACGTTGTAATTACTACTAAGTACGAATATATCGCCTTCGACGTAACTTCCTGAATTTTTTGTAAATATTTGGCATGGTAAAACGATCAAAATGTCAGCAAAAATGTAGCAAAATCGTTTTCATAAACGGTTAAGCGTGTCAAAGGACGCGACAGCGCAATTCGATCACTTGAAGTTGTCTACATTTAACTATATTGGAGAATACTTCAGATTCAAGTAGTTAAACAACATTAACATAAAAGTACCAAAAGGAAAGTAACAATAATGCTATTGGTTAGAATATATAGGAAAACATACTGATCCAATAATATAATTCTGTTATATACATCGAAACGAAGTTAAACCACACTCTAATAAAGAATTTTGATGAAAATGACATTTAAATATATGTAATTAATGTTAGATTTTAGAACAAAAATTATATACAATAAAAAATTCCTAATTAATCCGATAATACATATTACAAAAATAAAAATATAAAAAAATTTGTAAATATATGTTGTACTAATGATCTTTGCATATGATTGTAACTTAATGATAAAAATGTAAATATTATCTTTGATTTTTAAATTATAAATTAATATAAAATTTATTAGTACATTCGTTTGTACACAAAGAAAACTTTTTTATCAATGCACTTTCATTAAAAATTGTTAGAATACTTAAATTATACCTAACCGGAAATCATGTTGTTTCCTCTCTTTTATTTAGCACATGCAACGTGTGCATGCATTGGTTCAGCGCTGATCAATTTTATTTAAAAAGAAATTGATTATCTCGACCAGGAAAGCAATTAAACAATGGTACGTGATTGTTTCGATAATTTTTTTATTAGAAATAAAATTTTCAATTGAATTTTGTAATTGAATTATAAGTTTGTCAATATAAGTTCTATTTGTTAGGTTAGTTGTATTTCCAAACATGCGGTTTATAGTTTTGTTCTCTTAATATTATACTATTATATTACTTATTAATAATTATATTTCATTTAACAATATTTTAGGCAAGTACAAAAGTTGACAACCCTGAAAAACCAGGGCAAGAAGTAACTCCTATTCACAGAATTAGGATTACATTAACGTCACGAAATGTACGTTCTCTTGAAAAAGGTAATTTTATTTTTTCTATATATATTATTTTTATACAATATATTTTTTATTTTATTACATAATTTTTCAATTTGTTTATTACCTTAGTTTGCTCGGAATTGATAAATGGAGCCAATAAACAAAAATTAAAAGTGAAGGGTCCAGTTCGTATGCCTACCAAAATTTTAAGGATAACCACGCGTAAAACACCATGTGGTGAAGGATCGAAAACATGGGATCGTTTTCAGATGCGTATTCACAAAAGAGTTATTGATTTATATTCACCATCAGAAATTGTAAAGCAAATTACAAGCATTTCCATTGAACCTGGTGTTGAAGTGGAAGTTACAATTGCAAATGAATAAGCAATTTAAAATAAAACTGTACGAAGTTTCAATAAAAATATAAAAAAATTCAAATATTTGTGTAAAATTTGTATTCGAATAAAATGAAATACATAGGTAAGTTGGTTGTAATTAACATGTTATAAATATGTAAAAGATTAGAATTTAAATTTCTTGAATAGAACATTAAAAATATATTGCTGGTACGGTAAAACAATTTTTCTATTAATAATAATTTAGATGTTATTGATCTATTTATTTTATGAAATTGATAGAAAATTATTTATAAATTATAATACATTGACTTATGTACTTATTCGAAATATTCTGCATAATGTCCAGCAAGGCAGTAGCATACTCATAAAAGTATGATTCTGATTTAGGAATAATTGTCAGTTAATGAAACATGGTAATTTGTTAGTTTATTGTATGTTTATTCTTCTTCTTGAGACTCGTTTCCAGATTTTTTATCTTCTTCTGCACCTTCGCCACCACTAAATCCGTCCATTCCTTCCACTTCTTCTTCATCATCATCACCAGCAACTTCAGCATTTTCAAGTTCAGCACGTTCCATTTGTCGTGCTAATTCTGCTTCATCAGTCGCAGTAACAACTTTTGGCTACAATTTAAAAACTGTTACAATATATATAAATTATTCGAAAATAAACAAGTTTGTAATAACAATGTAACATACAGCCATTTGAACATTAAATACACCTCCCAGTGATGTTATCTTATCTTGTATAGCATCAATAGCATCATTTAATGCTTTTAAACCATCTTGTTTTTCTGGTGTAGATGTTGTCATAACTAAAAAAAAAATTCAATTTTTAAGTTCTTAATTATAGATGAAGATTATGTAACAATGTATCTATGTACAAAGATGTACCATATAATGGAGGTGCAATTAAATTGATTTTAATTGGAAGTTCATCTGTAGAAAGAGCTAATCCAGCTTTTAAAGCAGCTTTCACTGCATCAATTCCTTCATAACCATAACAGGCTACTTCTACATCTGCTCTAATTTTAACTGCTTGAGAAGTTAATTTTCGTTTAATGTTATTCAATAATACCTCCTTTGTGTGTTCATCAAGTCCACACTCTGCTAAAATAGATGGATCTCTAAAATAACAATATTTCAGCAATCATTATCATATAAATCTTGCATTAATTTTACATATTTTATTCCTTATACTTACAAAACTGACTGCTTAAAGAAATCATATGCAGAAGCTTTTTGTTTCTTATATTTTTCTTCAAAATGCCATGCAGTTTTTTGATACAATTCTTCTAGCTGATCATCACTATCATAATGTAATAATTCTGCAACATGTCTTAAAATTGAATTTACAGCCTTTGCTTTTGCATATCTTTCTGTGCATTTTTCTACATCTTCAGCTGATACACGACGTTTACTAAGATCAATGTAACCTAGATTGAATTATTTAATGAACAATTAAATAAAATAAAAAGATAATTTTCAAACTATTTCATTAATATAACTTTTATATATTTCACCTTTCTCCTTGTCAACCCTGATAACAACAACTGGTTCAGTTTTTCCTACTCTAATAAGTTTATTAATAGATCTAATACGTCTTCTAGACAATTCAGAAAGAAGGATCATACCTTCAATATTATTATATTCTAATAAATGTACATATGCTCCCATTTCGGCTATGCTACGTACATTTACCATTACTACATCCTCCACTTCTGGATATTTTTCTTTATAAAATCGACATGACAACACCATTTTTATTGCTATATGAAGAAAGTTACATTTAATTTTAAATGCTCATGTAAAATATTACGATTTTTGTATCAGAATATAAATGAAACTAATTTCTTCTATTAATAAATATCTTTTTCTATGTGAAAGAACGTTTACGTCTGTTATATTATTTTAATAAATAGAAAACAGAAGGTTATCATACAGGTTAATTTTAAAAATTCTACGAATTATGTGATAATAGACTTTTTATAATTACCGATATGAATATATTTGCACAAAAATTGACGAACCGTTTATTTATATTATCACAATATATGTAGAACGTGTAAAAACTTATTAATAATCGTACATTAATAATCCATGTGCACTTTTTACTTGATTTTCAGTCAGGTTATTAAGAAAAATACATAGTGGTAGCCAACTTGAAGTTTGTTCTAACAATGCGACATCTATCTATCGCAACGAATATCTTTAGATAAACGTTATGATTGATATCACTATATATAAATTATAAATTTTTTCATTATAAATATATACTAGAAATAAGAAATTAGAATATTTATAGTATATATATGTATGTGTATATATATGTATATATATAAATATATATATGTGTGTGTGTATAGATGTCAATATAAATTTAGCATGATACATGAAACGTAAGTTTATTCGAATTTCAATTCGATTATCGACTGTAACATGTACACCAACCTATATTCTTTCTGTTACATTGGCTATCCGATTATAATAGCTAATTTTCTTGATACAACTATCTCCAATGACAATCATTTTCGTGGATAATGTTCAATTATCAAAAACGACATGTCCCAATCAGGTTAGAAAATGATTGTAATATTATTCAAGTCGCGTGTAAACCAAATTTCAGACGAATGTGAAAAACTAAAGTGCACACGCGATTTCGCGTCCTATGATCAATAATAATCGACAGGACAAATATCAAAATCCAAATGCCTCTGATTTCGAGGCATTGTCCTCATATCACCAATCGTGGTGATCTCGCATTTATTGAGATTATCGTGTCACAAAAGGAGAAGTTTAAAAAATGTAGTGAATGTGATACGGATGGGCCTAATTTATGGTTATGCTTATTTCCTGATTGTCGTTGGGTCGGATGTGCTGAAACACATTTGGATCATAGTATTGTACACAACCAAAAATTTCCTAATCATTGTGCTCATATGAATCTTTCTACAAATCGTATATGGTGTTACTCTTGTAAAAAAGAAGTTATAACTAGGCATGTACCGTCACCACCAGTGTCACCTACTCAAGTGGACATAAAAGCACAAAATAACAAGTTTGCTGGTGATGCACCTATTAACATAGATTGTAAAACAGATGATCTTAATCGACTTATACTGGATAAGTAAGTTTTTTTTTTTATAGATATTTTATTTATATATTTAAGAAAATAAATGTTCAAAGTTTCCAACTTTATTTAGCAAATAAAAGCATTCTTTGTTTTATGAATAATAGGTTCTATGGTGAGCTTATAAATAGAGTGAACTATGAAAAAGATGGATTATTTAATGAAAAGTCTGGTGATTCCCCAGACAGTACAGACTCGGATGAGAGCAAAGACTTTTCTGGAAAGCCAAGGGGTCTGGTTGGTCTTCAAAACATTGGTAATACATGTTATATGAATGCAGCACTTCAAGCTTTATCAAATGTACCTCCTTTGACACAATTCTTTTTGGATTGTGCTCATATGGTTAGCTATATGTCCAAAGATAGAAAGCCTGGTTTAAGCTTAAGCTATTTAAACCTTATTCGAGACATGTGGAATAGGAAAACAAGAGGATATGTTGTACCACATGGAATATTATCTGGTATTCGAACAGTTCATCCAATGTTCAGAGGATATCATCAACATGATACTCAAGAATTCTTGAGGTGTTTTATGGATCAGTTACATGAAGAGTTAAAAGAACATATTGAAGATGACCGTGATAATGTGTTAAGATTAAAGGGACTAGGAGAACAATCTTCAGACGAAGATGAAACTGAAATTGATGGGAATGGTTCTAGCCAGTCAGATGCTGAGTATGAAACTTGTGATTCTGGAGTAAGTGAACAAAGTTCTCTTAGTGATGAAGGTGAACGTGGTACAAAAAGAAGATATTCTAGAGTATCTCAGTCAGAGAAATTAAGAAGTAAATTTACAAATAGAAGTATCAAAAAATCAACTGTAGAGCAATCATTTTCTCAGCCACAAAGATCAACACAAAACTCACCTGTGAAGTACAGGACTAAGAAACAAATGAAAACAAGAAGTATCATCAGTGATATATTTGATGGTAAACTTTTAAGTAGCGTACAATGTCTAACTTGTGATAGAATTTCAACAAGAGTAGAAACTTTTCAAGATTTATCATTACCCATTCCAAGTAGAGATCATATTGATATGTTACATCAAGGACCTCTAACTCCACAAAAGGCAGGACCATGTTCAGATGTTGTGTATGTAACTAATCAGTCTGGATGGCTGTCATGGTTCTTACAATGGATGCGTTCTTGGTTTTGGGGACCAGTTGTTAGTCTTCATGACTGTCTTTCTGCATTTTTTAGTGCAGATGAACTTAAAGGAGACAATATGTATAGTTGTGAAAAGTGTAACAAATTGCGTAATGGAATTAAATTTTCAAAAGTTTTAGAACTACCTGAGATACTATGTGTCCATTTAAAGAGGTTTCGTCATGAATTAATGTTTAGTTCAAAAATAGCAAATTATGTTTCATTTCCATTAGAAGGATTAGATATGCGACCATATTTGCACAAAGAATGTGTATCAAAAGTAACTATGTATGATTTAATATCAGTTATTTGTCATCATGGAACAGCTGGTGGTGGTCATTATACCTGTTATGCATTAAATCCTATTGTGAATAAATGGTTTGAATTTGATGATCAATGTGTCACAGAAGTCTCACCAGAAACTGTAAAGCATTGTGAAGCTTATGTGTTATTTTATAAAAAGTGGTCACCAGAAATGTTGCAGTTACGCGATAAAACTATGGAATTGATGGAAATTTCATCCAGAGAATTATCTGATTTGAACTTTTTTGTATCGCGACAATGGATAAATCGTTTTAATACATTTTCGGAACCAGGACTTATAGATAATTCTGATTTTCTTTGTCCACACGGTGGTGTTAATCCTGTTAGAGCACAATTTGTAGATAAACTTAGTATGCCTATTCCACAAGCAGTTTGGGAATATTTATATAATACGTAAGTATTATAATTATAATTTGTATATTTATTTGAATTTTCAAAAAATTATCAGTTAGAACTTAAGTTCTAATGTTTCTAACTTAAAAATTAATGTTTCAGGTTTGGAGGAGGTCCAGCATGTACACATTTATATGAATGTCCAATTTGTGAAGAAAAATATGAATCATTACAGAAAAGAAGACAATATGAGATGGAAGTATTTCAACAACTGAATCATAATACTGATAATCCTACTGCTATATATGGATTGGCTATGGCTTGGTTACGTCAATGGCAAAGTTTTGTAAGGGGTAAAGAGACTCAGCCACCTGGACCAATTGACAACAATTCCATTATAATAAATAAAAATGGTCAGAATATTCTTAAAGTTGGTAAGTTTCAAATTAAGATATATTCAAATTTACTGTGTTTATAGTTTATTGTGTTTATATTTTATTTTAATATAAAACTTATATGTAGGTTCAGATTATGGGCAAATACCAGAAGAACTCTGGCAATTCTTTTTAACTACATATGGTGGAGGACCAGAATTAATGTTGCATTCATGTCAAAGACCTGTCTCTGCTCAGTCTAATATATCATTACATTCCACTTCAAACTCAAATCTAGATCAGAATTTTAAATCCAGTCGTATAGAAGTTAAATCTAATAAACTCTGTATGACTAGGAGTTCTGAAACAATTTCACAACCAGATAGTGCTATTGAAAGTTTAACATCAGATACTGATTCACATCAAACACAAAGGGATGTCAGTGAGTAAATTAATTACTTCAACATCCTATTAATATATACATAAATTAATACTTCGACATGAACATTAAACTTATAATTGATATCCTCATATTAAAGAATCAATTTCTAATTGTCATGTCTTAATTGTGTTATAGATTATTGTTAGATCTGTAAAACAAAAATATCTTCTTCAATGAAACTATTTGCATAGTACTATCTGTATAATATTTGAACATTGTGGAATATTATATTATAAAAATTCTAAAAAATATCTGTATATCTCATGGCATTTGCTTGTGTGTTTTCACTATGTTCAATTTAATGTAAATTTGTGGGTACTAAATGTAATTGGTGGGTAATTAGTTAGTACAAAATTTAGTATCTACGACTGTATTATTTAAAGACAAATATTTAGCTGTATTCTCTTAGCCTAAGCTGGTAACATATTATTAGTTCTCCGACTTTGGTGTTAAATTTAACACTTTTCCCCTTTGTATATTTATTATAATATCTGTGTGTCATTCCTGCATATACAAAATATCCAAAATTACATATTTTCTGGTTTATATGTATTCATTAAAAAAATGTATACATTACATACATATAAGTGGAAGACTGAAAAATAAATCGATTTAATCTAGCAGAAATTTTTAGTTAACGCTGATAAAATATATCAAACTTAATTTAAAATCACAACAGAACTTTACAGAATAATAGTAACACAATATACAAAGCTTTGTACCGTAGGAAACTAGTAAAAAATTTCAAACTTCTGCTATAGTCATTTTTATTGCAATTAAGTTGTAAATTCATTGATATGTATATCTTTAGAATAGAATTTGGAAACACTTTTGTTGTGATCTCACGGCCTTGTATTGTTGTCGGAATTATTAAATCCAATGATTAGCGTTTATTTTGTATACAATTTATTATAATGAAGTATTTATGTTGTATGCATAAAACGCTCGTTTGGATGTTGTTATAATTTGAATTATAAAACGCAGGGACACAAATGATTGTAAAGTTAATACTAATTAATTATTAATTATCATTACGAAAAGTAACATATTTAAGATAAATAATAAACAAGTTGATTTCTTTATTTATTAAAAACAATTGTTTTTCTGTTTCAATACCTTTAAGATTGTATCATATTAAATAGTAAAATTTCATCTTATTATATAACTACATATAAAATAATGAAATCTTTGTTAATCTCAAATGTCATCTACATTTTTTTTACTATATTAAATTTAATTAATTAAATTTTATAATATTAATTTATGAGTAAAAAATAATTATTTTGAATTTTAACTTGTAATATTTATAACATTAATATCTTACTTTGAAGTAGATTGCAATTAAAATTTTTTCAACATACCAGTATATAAAAGTATCTTTTATAGAGAATAAAAGATGCATTAATTGGTGTCTAAAAAAATATAGGATTTCGAACCGACACATAGAGTGCTTAAATTACTTCTCCTTCGAAATATAAGAAAATTCATTTGACATTTTTTCGAATAATGAATAGTTTAGAAGATAATTCCACTTATAGATTAAAACTAGTCACTTTATATATATATATAATATATATATAATATTATTTATATTTTTTATTTCAAAGTTAAGGAAAAAATTAAATTATAAACGCATTATAATTTCAATATTTTATATTGAAATTATTTTGGAGATAAATTTTATTTAAGTGTTAAAAACTATACATAGATTGTGTATTAATTTATTATCAACTTTATCCAATATTTTATTTAAGAATATTAAGAATATTATTATAAAGACTATCCATTATTTTATAACATATAATAAATTTTTCTTAACTAATCTCTTATTTTATTTGGTATGCGTAATAAAATATGTCGCTTTTTCTTTGAAAATATTTCGATAAAAATTATGAATGATAAATATTATATACTGGTATAAATTTAAATACTATAAAATAAAATACGATAAATTTAAAATACTTATTTATATTAGAAAATAAATAAAAAGATCTACTTGTGTATTTTAAAATAAATATTAAAAATGAGATTTTACCCTGAAAATCTTATATCTGTTCTACTTTTCTATAATTACAAAAAAGAATCATATATAAATTTTATGAATTGCTGAAAAAAGTACTATCAAAATAATGACAGATCGAAAATCGTTTATTATTTTCCACTGTCATTTTACATTATTCGAGAAATAATTATCATATAATCAATTAATACATTAAATAAAAAAATTTATTTCAAACAATGGTTCTCTGACAAATATTGAAAAAGAAATAAAAATGATTCAGTCTTTATAATTCAAGTTTCATTTAAAAAACGTTCGTTCAAATTGCGACTTCCTCTTGCATGTTTCGATATCAGTCTCGTCTTATCAAGTGCTCTTCCAATGTCAACAGGATGTAGAGCCTAATACAGTAGAGAATTTACAGCATCAGTAACTTTAATATTAATAATGCTAGATATAATTAGATGCCTCAAGAAACACGTGATCAATTCATTTAGATGAGACACGCCTAACGAATCCCATTATCAATTACCAATTTTCAATTTCATTTGCTTAATTTGTTTCACGTGGGGAGATGTGATTTTTATATTACAGTACTGATGTGTTGAGAGATATCTCGCGGACCACATCGATCGAGGCTTGCGCGTTCAAGGGATGCTGGCCATATTCTTCTGATCTCCCAACCCCTGACACGCCAACCCCGTAGTCTCTCTCGCGATTAAGAGCTCGCGATTAGGGACTCGACGATCGCGGTAGACCGTAGACGACCATGCGGTATCGTAGCCCACGTAGTTAGACGATTTTGACCTTTTATTTTCAAGTATTTCCGTTCTTCGGACTTGCTGCTGCTGTGGACCTTTTTTTAGTTTAAGCCTTTCGCTCCGTCTTGGCCAAAGAAATCGGAAAAAACTAAAAAAAAAAGAAAAAAAAAAGAAAAAGAAAAATTAACGAAACGAGACTCCCGCTGGAGGAAGTTGCGCCTGTCGTCGCATTGTTTTCCCTGAAAATTTGCGGGGCGAATTCTATTCGGTAAGTGAAGTAAGAAATCGAGACTTCGGTCGATATTCGAGAGCGCAAGAAATCAGGGACGAACATCCATAGAGAAGACATCGGATACGTATATTCATGAGAAGTTTGGAAGTGATTGTACGTGAAACAAAGCGATTAAATCGATTAAAAACTGATGGAGCACGATGAGGGATTGTCGCTTAAACGGGGGTTCGATTACACGTGTATGAAGAATATCCTAGTTAATTCAGACGGAATTGTGTCAAGCTATATATTCAACCATTCTTCTCATTCAAGTGATTAACATGACCTGTATTGCATCTGTTTTGTGCATCTATGCACTTGTGCTGCATCTGTTACTCTAATTATTTTTATTAAAGTAGGAAAGCTAATTGAGTTTCGAATTTTTACTAGTGTAAATAAGCACAATTGGTTTAAAGAGACTCGTTAAAAATGTACCAATAGATGATGCAAAAAGTATCCTATTGGAATATCACAATTTCGTGAACTTTATTGCTTGTTGATATGACTATTTATATTACACTCATAAGATATGACTATTTATATTACATTTCTTGATACTTTGTATAATATATAGAGAAGTATAAATTGAAAGGATTTTATAAATATATATTTTATATATTTAATATGCAATATTAGATATGCTTAATAATGGTAGGCACAGAGTTACACAGAATAGTTGATAGTCGCCATGTACTTTTATCACATTTCTGCGAAAATAATTTAAAAGGCAGAATCCAGATAGAAGGTTGTTTCACTTATTAATAATTAGAACAGATATCCTATTTTAGATATTTTATATATTTTTGTACATTATGTATTTTATGTGTTTTTGTACCTCTACTTTCAAATGCATAAAACTTATTAAATTAAATTAAAGAATATAATCTCTATGATCATGTATCGTTCAACGACACAGTCGAGTATATCGTTTATTACGATTTTCAAATGATAATTATATAATAAACCTTGATGAAACTCATATTATAATCATACTAAATAAACTCAAATCATCATTGTAAGAACAACTTGCCTCCTTACAGAAGCAACGAATTAAACAATGGCCAATTTTCGCGGATTCTACATACCATCCTTGGGAGCAACGATCAACGTTGCCTGGGAAACATTGAAAGCTAAATGGCCAGAGAACAGTCCCTGTATGGAACTTATTCGCGGTCCAGGTCCAGGTCAACGACAGGCTCCAGGACAAAGTGGACATGCACAGTTTAAATCGTTCGACGAAGGTCGCGATAACACTGAAATGATAACTATGAACGGAGATCAAGCATATCGGGACCAGAATAACGTAGCCATCGCCGAGGACTCATTCAGTTATCAACGAAACGGGTAAATAAAAATGAAGTGTCCGTATGTGTTTAACAATAGACAAAAGAAGGATCTTAAATCTAAGAATCTTTAATTTAATACATATAAAATAGTTCAGTACTAGAAAAGAGATCGATTATTAGTGAAATTATTCATATAATAACGAGATAGTAGAACGATAGTAGAACGTTCGGATAATAAGATTTTGAATATAGGAGGCCCTGTATACCATCATTTTTCGATATTCGAGTAAAGAGAAACTCTCACATAAAAAGAGCTCATAAACACAATTTAATCTTACAGGGACAAAATTAGAACAGGCAGCGTCAGTAGCGGTGAATTTAGCGAATACGATGAAGGTGGCGGCGAATTTGGTGGCTCGGGAGTAAAAATTAACGAATGGCAAGCCGCATGGAACGTTACAAATGCTATACAGGTACTATCCAGATGGATTCTGATATTCGTACAATGTCTGAAGATTGATAACGAAACAATCGATCTATTCATTCCACTTGCAGGGTATGTTCATCGTATCGTTACCATTCGCCGTGTTACGAGGCGGTTATTGGGCCATTGCCGCGATGATTGGTATAGCTCATATCTGTTGTTACACCGGAAAGATACTCGTTGAATGTTTGTACGAATTGGATACCACGACTGGCCAACGTGTACGTGTGCGAGATTCGTACGTAGCTATCGCGAAAGAATGTTTCGGGCCAACGTGGGGGGCCAGAGCGGTAAACATCGCTCAAATTATCGAATTGCTTATGACGTGCATCTTGTATGTGGTCGTTTGCGGTGACTTGATGATAGGAACGTTCCCCGAAGGCGCAATCGATACTAGGAGTTGGATGATGTTGATAGGGATATTTTTATTGCCTCTCGGTTTTCTCAAGTCTCTGCAACACGTGTCGGTGCTTAGCTTTTGGTGTACGATGTCACACTTGTTCATAAACGCGATCATCGTCGGCTACTGCATTTTGGAGATCGGTGATTGGGGCTGGTCCAAAGTGAAATGGACGATCGATCTGCAGAATTTCCCGATATCCCTTGGCGTGATCGTATTCAGCTATACCTCGCAGATATTTTTACCCACGTTGGAGGGCAATCTGATCGATCGGTCCAAGTTCGACTGGATGTTGAACTGGAGCCATATCGCGGCCGCCGCGTTCAAATCGCTTTTCGGTTGGATCTGTTTTCTAACTTTCCAAAACGACACGCAGCAGGTGATCACTAATAATTTACACTCGGCTGGTTTTAAGGGGCTGGTGAATTTCTGTCTGGTCGTAAAGGCCGTGCTCTCTTATCCATTGCCGTATTACGCGGCCTGTGAACTTCTCGAGAGAGCATTCTTCAGGGGTAGACCGAAGACGATCTTTCCAACGATATGGACGGTAGATCGCGAGTTGAAAGTCTGGGGTCTAGCGTGGCGAGTCGGCGTGATCGTTTTCACCATTCTTATGGCGATCTTCATACCGCACTTCAGTATTCTCATGGGATTCATAGGCTCGTTTACTGGTACCATGTTGTCCTTCATATGGCCGTGTTATTTTCATTTGAAGTTAAAGAGAAACTCCATGGAATGGAGCGCTGTCGCGTACGATTGTTTCGTAATATTTCTCGGTATACTATTCGGTGTTATCGGAGTGTATGATTCAGGCTCTGCCTTGATTAATGCCTTTGAAATCGGTCTGCCGTTTTGAACGCGTCGTATATACGAGTATTCAGTTTCCACGATCTCCATTTGTCTCCCTCGCAGAAATAGAAAACTTGAAATACGAATAAAGTACGTGTAGATATACAGACTCAAGGGAACCATCGAATTGCAGTTTGCGTCAATTGATTTTCAACAGTGATTCATAATCGTCTGTCTGCAAATATTGTCACACGCATGGCAAAATATTATATCAAGTATAAATATGTATAAATCTCCGTATCGCTTCTTATCGGCTGCAGTGCAATCCGCTAATGCATTCCCTTGAGAATACGAATGTATTCGATCAACGTACGGCGTTTATATTTTTGCTGATTTCGAACGTTTTTAACGTTAATCGTACAAAATGATAAAGGGAAATGATTCTAGCTAGATGTCATCGGTTAGGGAGATTCTATAAAAAAAGAAAAAAAAAAAAGAAAAAAAGAAAACATATATCCCTTTGCTCGTTTGAATAGATGTAACATACACAGATTTGTTCGATCGAAAAGCTATACAAAAGGTTCGAGACGTTTTGAGATTGTATATTTATATTCAACCAGAACTCACACATATCTAGTAAAATGATCTATTTAAGACGAGAAAATCTAGTAGAAGAAAAAGAGAAAGAGAGAGAGAGAGAGAAAGAAAGAAAGAAAAAAAAAGATGAAGAAAGAATCTATTTGCGTATACATTTTCGGCTTCATCGTAATGTATCTTATTGTCTTCCTCTGGGTTTGTGTCTTCCTCCTTCTTGATAAAGATCGTCGACAGGGGCTTTCTAGGCAAAATATTAGACTGTTTAGACCGCAGTGAACGTGACAATATTATATTGCTGGTTGTAAGTGATCGATGTCTTCCACAATACGTTTACAAGCGAAATACATGATGAATATTGTACGTACAAGTTAACTACTGTTACGCAGATTTCGGGATTTTATAATCGCATTGCGGATCTTGTAATTTCTATCTATAACTTACATGTTGACTACACGCCGCGCCGGGGAGGCGTTGCTCGTTGTTAAATTTACAATAATTAGTAATAATTTAGTCGGTGCAATGCGTGTAAAACAAGGGGCAACAACGTTTCATATACGATCATTTCATGATCTTAGCTGCCAACATGTTAGTACTACTCTGACGTCTCCTCGCCGTGCAAGCGAATGCAAATATGTAACCAGTTATGTACGAACGAGTACAATTAGTTATAATAATCCAACGTCTTCCAAGGCCTTAACAGGCCGCATAGTTCACACGTTAGTTTAAGCAATATGAGTGTAGCTGATGCAGTAGTTTGATGGAAGCTGCGAGATGCTCTTTAAGGATTTTATCGTTAAATTAACTCAAACGTTAGGTACTTCTTTATGACTCAGGTCTGTACAATTATTGCTGTTTGACTTGCTCCTCCAAATGTCCATTAGGAATTTTGTCTAAACGTTTTGCTGAACGGAATTTTGTTGAACGTTTTTTGACAAGGTTGATGAAGATGAAAGAGTCATTTACGTACGTACGTTCAGAAGCTTCATACAGCAATAATTGTACAAGCGTTTTAGTTTTTGCTACGTGAAAATAATTGATGTCTCTTGTCTTTATTCTTGACAGTGTTAAAACACATATGTATTTATAGAACAAACGTGCGTGGCAATTGTTGCAAGTATTGTGAAAATTGATCTTTTATTACTTTTATGGATGTTTTATGGAAAAATGAACGCGGATCGAATCCGAAAAAAGTCAGAAAGAATAAATGATACAGGAATAATATTAATATCGTTGTAATAAGCCTTAATACATCATTAAAATGATATTAATATTACTATTAATTAGCAGAATTAAAAGTTTTATTCGGTATTTTCCAAGTTACCATCTTTTTTAGAGTAGATTTAGAAAGGGAATAGGAACATCTCGCAGTTACAATACGTTATTTAAATGAGATACGATAATATTTATGAAACGAGTCTTCCAATGATGTCTTCCAAAATAATAATAATAACAACAACAACAACAACAATAATAATAATAATAATGATAATAATAATAATTAATGTAATACGATCTATTGATCGAAGGAAATCTTTGTCAATGATATTAAACGTTATAATGAGAGTTATAGAAGTTAAGTGTTAATCATTAAGGCTATGATCAAATTTAATGTATAAATGAAATCATTCGTGTATTATTTTAATTTTAAGTTTTCTCCTTTCTCGACGGATCGTTTCCTCTTTTACACCATCAACGTAGGTAAATCAACGTAAAACAAACATGATATTGCCTTGTTATCTGAAGGAAAAAAAAGAGAAAACTCAATAATATATATATACGTGTATGTATACATAGTATCGATCTTTTATTTTACGAAATATAAGTTTTGATTATAATTGTCGACCAAAAAAGGGAAATGAATATTAAATAAATACATAGAACGTCGTGCATGAAAATTACAACGATTACAAAAGGAAGTTGAAGAGAGGTTTGAATAATTATTTGTGAATGCAATATTTTCGAAATTACACAAAATTAGCGAATCTTTTCTGATTAAAGGTATAATATTAATCTTCGAACAGCATGTGTCGATGGCAGTCGGGTCAGATTTGATTAAAAAATCAAATCTTTATATTAGATTTCTTTTTTATTGAATATTTTTAAATTATTCTAGTATATAACGATTGAATATATTTTTGCTAACATATATTTATTTTATAATTATGTAATTATTCTTCTTTTATATTTAAATGATAAAAACATCCTAAAAGATCCTTTAATGAATCAACGTCTTTTGAGGATTAAGTACGTTTATTAACATTGGATTAATTCCTTGAATTCTTAAAACAATCAACGTGTACAAGACATTATCATTTTTCAGCGTTCATACACGGTACTCTTGTATGTACAGTGATATTATTTGAATTTGACTCATTCTAAGAAACTCGATATGATATAAAGATATTCGATTGTAATGTATGAAATGTTCGTTTCTAAGTTGAAATAAAAACGCTTTTTTTTGACAACATAATTTTATTAATCAACAGTATTTATCAGCGCGATATAAAAATCTTCATTTTCACTTTTATTTTTTACGCAGAATTTCTGGTATTTTTTAAATATCTCATGATTGATTACGACTGATGTGTGAATAAAAGACAAAAAATAAATACGTACATACATAAAGACAATAACATTCCTGATAAATACTTCGAAAATTACTTTCAGATCGACATTTCATGTATTACAATTTTCAATTTTCCTTTGTAAAATGTATCAGACAAATATTTAAGGTAGAAGACAGTCAAATAAGATAAAATATCGAAGACAGTTAAATAATACGTTCTATATGAAATAATTAAAATTTTTATTCACTTTTCTTTCGTTGGACAATTTTAAAATATTTATTAAAGATTGATCAAACATTAAGAGAATTGTGCAATAATGGCTAGTTAATTTATTCAGGTTTTTATTATTATCTGGCATATATGCAGAATAAGTATTCACAATGATTTATGAATCATTCGACGGAAAATTACACTCATTTAAAACGCTTTCGCGAGAGCACAAAGCTTTCGTGACATATCGAAAACAACCTTATTAATGTTGTAGTTAATTAAAAGCATATAGATATTATAAAATGATGTAAAATGGGCTTCCATGTGTGTATATATAAATTGTATATCTATATGTATATAGTATATAATTTATATATATACATATATGTATAAAAATGACAAATGGCAAATATATTATCAAAATTTTACATACGTGCCATTTGCTTTTGTCCAACACCTTCGATTCCTGTAATATATACTCTTTAAATAACTTCATCAAAATTATGAAAAATGTGAAATGAATAAAACATATATCTTTATACATATATATTCCTAAAGATAATAAATTTATTACCATCCATATTTTATTAAGAAATAGTAATTGAAACTTAGACTATATATCTACATATTCCATATTGCAAAATAAAAGTTTTACGAATTTCTACAAAAATTTTATACAAAAAATAAACAAAGAATCTTTATGCACATAATGTTTATTTTATATAAGCGATATTTAACCTTTTATAATCAGAATTTCATTTATTTATAAAGTAAAAATCATTAGTTAATTGAAGCTATTTATTCAAATTCAAACTCTGGAAATTAATAATTGTATTAAATAAGTTATTTAGTATTTCTGTAATGGCGCATTGATGAAATGCAATGATGAAGCGATAAGTACATAAAATAGAATTTTTAAAATATTACATGGATGCGTGAGTTTTAAATTACACGATGTCATAGAGGATCAACGCGTTAATTTCATTGTCGCTGGTTGTTTGATCCAAAATCCCCACGTAGCGAATTGTTCTCCATCTTGTTCTTTACTTGCACCTCGGAATACTTTGATTTTTATACGTGGTACTTCGTCTGAACAGAAATGAATTTAGATATACCAGAAATTGTATTAACTCTTACCGTATTTTAATCAATTTGCAAATTATTATAATTTGAGAAACACGTGGTATATAGAAAATTATTTTTCCAATTTTACCAGTTTTCATATCGTCGCTTCGTATAAATGTTTCTCCTGTATTTTCTCTCGCATTTATAGATATTATTAAAGCGAGAAAATAAAGTAGGCTGATAATTTTCTAAAACGACGCAGAAAAATGAAATAGGTTTTATTCCTACAAACATTTAACACTAACTAATTATTAACACTAACGGTATGCAGCTTACCAATAATTCCATTGCGATTGATGTAAATACAATGATGTTTCTAGATAGAACGAATCCTTTATGTAGTGATAAAGAATATTTAGAGCATAACCGAATCAGATTTTTATGGTTACCAGATACTTTCTGTTATAGAGAAAGTTACTTTTTTTTAGAAAAACAGTGAAAACTGCGAAACATTAAAATAAACGCCGCTATGTCCGCGTTACGATACAGACAATAAAATTTACGATTGGTTCTTTTCACTTCGTAAAAATTACTATATCTTATTATAAATCTCCTTTTAAAAGGCAATTATTTATAAATATATATCATTTATAAATAAGTTTATAAATAACATTTGTTGATAACATATGGATAGCAATTTTCATCTAATTTTTCACAAACATGATATCCATCTAATATGAAAGTACATGTAACGAAAAATAGCAAAAAATAAAGTTAATTCACAAATGCATTTACAAAAATTATAATTATATCTATTTATATTTATTTATATATATATAATTATATCTAATTTATATACAAGCTGCAATAAGTTGTTTTATGCAATTCTTTTTAAACGGAGAAGGTATTCTTTAAACGAAGGTTTCATGAGGAGTCGAAATAAATATAAGCAGAAATTATTTTAGTAATGTATATTTAGTGTATCATTCAAATAAAATAGTTTCCATTATATATAATGATGATACAATTACAGTAATGAGACGTAACTCATTTACTTTTTGTATAATTGATTATTGGGATTCAGTTGATTGGCATGATTATCTAAATCAGCTTTTGTACCGGTTCCATAATATCCGGATTTGTGCCCTTGCCCAGTTGATGTATGATTAGGATTACATTGATTTGTTCTATTACTGGCAGCTTTTTTGTCCATCTGCAAAAAAAAAAAAATGTAAAACGTAAGCTGTTTTCAGACAATTCAATATTGTAAGACAAACTAATCACAATTTATTATACGATAATTAATTAATTAATTAATATTAATTTGTGTAATAAATTTATTTGTAATAATCAGTTTGTTATAGTATCATTATGCATAGCATATGGTTTTCATAAAAAAATAAAAAAATATACATCTTTTTGTAAAAATAACATGATACATCTTAATTTTCGAGAAAATCGAATTTGAATGTTTGATAATGCAAAGAATATTATTACAATATTATATGTAAATACTTCTATTTCGTTAATATTATTACAATTTTATTATTACAATATTATTGTAAATACTTCTGTAAATATTATTACAATATTATTGTAAATACCTCTTGTAATATTATTACAATATTATATGTAAATACTTCTATCTCGGAAGATTATAAAATCTAAGATGGAAGAAATAGTGACAAAAAAAAATCATCAGCGGATTTTTAAAATCCACTTTTTTAATTATAACGTTAAAAAAAGATGAAGAATATAAATTGAAAACTAAATAAAATGTTGCATTAAGGCAACGCTAATTGTAAATGGATTAAATAATTAAATGTTAAATTTTTCTTCTTATTAACATTAACGATGCATTTATAATCGTATAATAACGATATGACCGTTTACAGGCACAGACTTATTTTGGACATAAATTTCAGATCATGCTTCAAATCATCTTTGTACAATTATATAAAATCAAAATTAATATCTTTTTTTCATTTTATTGTTACATAAAATTAATTACATTTTATATTACTTTCAATGAAGTATCTATGACATAGATAGACTAATTATAATTTTATGAAATTAACAACTAATTTTAAAATCTATCTGTTTTTTTTTTAGTAATAGACAATTTTGTATTATACTTATTAATGAATATTTTATATTTCTAACAATAGTATCAGCAACATATAAAATAAGATATCAAATACTTCGCTTACCTTTGAGTTTATGCGATTTGTAATTATTCTGCTCTGATGAATTCTGAATCAATTCTGTTCAAATGACGAGCTCAACGCCGTATAAATATACGGAACCAGAGAAATGGAAGGGGAAAAAGAAAATCCCCCAGTTATCCCCTGAGTGTAAGTGAATCCCCATTCTAATACAGTAATAATATTACTAAATGAATATTACCATCGCATATTACTAATGTGATTAGACTAATTAATATTTTATTATTAAATTACGAATTTTTATACATTTATTAGAAAGTTAAGGATGCTAAAATGCATACAATGCACATAATATATAAAAATATATCCAAAGAATGAAAGTTATTTTTATCTGGTTCTAGTTTTTTAATAATATGCATAAAATTTTAAATTTGTAGTTTATTTATTTTTTAATGTAATGAAAAATTTAATAATCATGATATTCTGAACTTACAATCTTCAAATTCAAAACATTTCCACATACACAACATTCGAAAAACATATGTTTAATTTAATTTATGATTTAATACAAAATTATGATTTAATAATTAACAAAAATTTGTATAGTTGGTAAAGCTATTGACGCATTACGAATAGACAATAATTTATAATGAAATTATTTTATAAATTTTAATTGTTATAATTTATTTTCTTAAAGATGTATATAGTGTTGGCAACATATAAAAAAAATAATACGTTTAACTATATATTTGTAGTTGACAAATATTTTAATTTTAGTTTTCATTCTCTATTTATAAAAATTATAATAATTAAGGAAAGTCTTTCTTTTAACTTTTTACATTCTAAAATATTATAAATATAATTATAATATTGTTATGCATTTAGTTTAGATTATTTGATTTGGTTCACGTTGGTTGGTACTCATGCTCTATTCGTCAATGTGCGTGAAAATTCAAAATCACTATTAGGATATATAGTCATATTTTTATTCCAAAATAATTATATTACTGATTGTTAAAAATACGAAACTACATTGAAATTTTTTTCTTTTTGCAATTTCTAATTGTTACAATTTGTGATTGATGTGTTTAGTTTGTAACTAAACTTGGAATTTTTTATACATATACATATATGTAGATGTTAAATATGTTAAATAGTTGGTATTATTAGTTCAATTTATATTCCGAGGAGAAATTTTGAAAGGGGAATCACAGCTTTATAAATCGCTTTATCAATCAATGTATTCCTGAATTCAAAGATGATGGCTTGGATCTATTTAAATTGTTAATTTAAAAGTTTCTGATAATTGTTAAACTTAACCGCGTTTCCCGTTAAATATTTTCATTAGAATTTAAATGAATTTAAATAAATTAATTATACAAACATTTTATTGAATTTTTATTCTATCAAAGTAAATTTATATGACGTATATCTTAAAATAGATTTATAGATCTTTTGTTTAAACTGCAAAAAATCTTAGAGAAGACGATGATGTTTTAATATATGATGGAAAAAGTGCATGGAGTAAAAAGAAACCATTGATTTATGATATACTTCGTTTAAACATATATTTATAAATTATGCATTACAACCTTTCAATCGCTAAAAATAATTTAAATATATTTATACCGAAAATAAAGATTAACAAAAATATTCTAATATGTATATATATTTAATAAATAAAATTAAAAAAATTCTCCTATAATTGATATACGTTGTAGGAATGATTGAGACTGGCAAGACAAAAGTTGATAATTTAGCCTTGCAGAATTATTTGTTGGATATAAATTCTTTTTTCTAATGTTCTCAAGCAATATTTGTGGTTCAAATCTTGGTTTTATATTGTTTTGTTTAATAAATGAATCTGTGTTATTTCTCATAGAAGTAGAGAAGTGTCCATCAGAAGTAGTATAAGTTTCATAAGTGTCAATATTTTCACTATCATCAGCTTTATAAATTCCTGAGGGTGGTGCAGCAACCTGTACTTTCAAAGATTCATCTTCTGGATCATTTGTATTTATTTTACTTTCTTCTTCTATTGTTATAACTCCACTTACTTTACCACTTATAGGTGGCAAAGGATTGATTGTATTTTTATTATTATTATTATTTTCTATGTCATTTATAAAAGTATGCCTCATTTCAGATAATTTTATAATTTCAATTGGTTCTTTGTCATTATGTTGATCTTTAATATCTTTTGGATGCGAGATATGCTCTATATTTTCTTTTTCTGTTTTATCATTTACAGGAATAAATTTCCATAACATTGCTTTTTGATCTGGAAATAAATGCTGACTTCTATGGCAACAGTATAATGCTCCAGGATCTAGAGGATGTGCTTCTGTATTAAAAATATATCCACCAGCATCTATGATACATTGACCCCATTGTGTTTCTATAATTTCTCCTTTCTGACCAGAATTATGAATAAAATTATCAGGATCAAAAAGTAGATAAAGATATTTGGTTGTTTCTGCTAAGAAAAATGACTCCATTCTATCAGCCTTCCGATGGTCCCTAACATCATTAATAGTTGCATAGCCACATGTAGTTTTAGCACTATGTTGCAAACTTCTTAATATATCTATTCCTACTTGTATTAGATAGGGATCTCCTGTTGCTCTATATAAATACATAACTGATTCTATCAGTTCTGGTCTTAATGGATACCCTTCTCTATTAGTGCTTGCTTCAGCTTGTGGTATGTTATAAAATTCTGGTGTGAATCCAAATTGCTTCCAAACACGATGGTAATTATGCAATGATTTCATTGCATCTCCAATTTCACCAAATAAACTTAATACTCCGGGCCAATAAGCATCTAAAGACTGAAACACTGGCAAGGTTACTTGACCTTTTGTCATAGAAACCCATAAATGCCAATCTTCTCGGCGAATATACTTTTCAACAGCAGCTTTATGCTCATGAAAAATTGTTGCTAGTAGTGGATCTTGAAATAATAAAGTACCTTTGGCTAAATATTCAAAATAGGAATCAATACCTGCACCAATCCCAGAATCCTGAGCTGTCCAATGGCCTGTTAATACATCTATGTGGTTACCCACTAATCCAATATTTGATTTATAATAATTTAATGCTTTAATAGCATTCATAGCTATTTCTTCATACAATGGATCTCCAGTTAATCTGGACAAAGTTCCAAATTCTAATATAAATGTACCTATCCCAGCAGTGCATGTGATACTTGTTTCACCTTCAGGTACTCCGTATTTCAAATTAACAGTACCATATGGCATTCCTGTTGGAGTGTCAAAGGCTGCAATCAAACGCTTTGCCATATCTTCTGCAAGACGCAATAATGGCCCATTACAAGGCCATCCTGGTTCCAAATTAATGCCTGCTTTACGTGATAAAAGATGAGCACTAAGTAATCCTCCAACTACTCTTATGTTAGTTTCAAATACGGAAACATTGATATTAGCTTCAAAGTTTGCTCTAGCACTTATAATTTCTGCTACACGTCGAAATTCAGAAAAATTGCCCATTATAGCAAGAGTATCCAAGGCATCGATAAGCGTTAATGAAAAACTGCCCCACGTATCGAATCCATCGCAACTTAATGATCGTAATTCGTCATAAGGATAAGCATATGTTAAATAACTTGAATAAGCATGATCAAACATAGATCGTATTTCTTCTCTTAGAGCGATCAGATCTTTCTTTTCGTACTCACGTAGCCCATTTACCAAAGATAAAAAGCCAAAATATAACCATACATTAAAAAAATACATTTTGATAATCATTTTGTAAATGTTTGGATTTGTTTATCAATTGAAATCTTATTGATCACAGTATAAATCCATTAATATGACTTTTTTTTAAACGTGACATTACTTAACAATTTGTACTTTAAAAATCGGCATCTTGATGCGAAACATGACTTATTTTTAAGTAATTTATTGTATTTTGACATCTTTTGAAAAATGTTGATTTTACAGCGTGGAATCGTATGTTTTCTAAGTCCATTAAGAAATATTTATATGCATATGCACTGTGTTATATTTATATGTATACTGTATTAAGTATGTATATTTATCTAATAAAAACACCTAAATGCAAATAAAATAAAAGACTTACAAATTATCTCACTTTCAATGTAACTTTCATTATCGCTTCATTTCATTGTTTTATTATTAATTGTTTCATTGATTAAATTTTTTATTGTATTTTAAAATCATTATGCGAAGAAGTAGCAGTAACAAAATAGGGATATTTAAGTAATAATAATTTGAAGATAGAGATAATTAATTTCTCTATCCAAATTCTAAAGATATAACATGGATCGCAAGTTTAGATGAATTAGTTTAAAAACATATCAAATACGAAATTACTTTAAAAGTAGTAACCATTAAGTTCTACTTAATTAATAGTAACTATTGTCTCTTGTATATTGTTGTAAGATTGGTAGTCATGTTGTATTCCGTAATGCTGTTTAAAAAGAAATATAATAGTCGTATGACAGTTTCAATAGCAGACAAAATTAATATAAAAAGTATTGCAAGTGTAATTGTTTTTTTCGTTTTAGATTTTACTAGTATACGTTTATAGATTAAGATTAATTGGAAATGATTTTCCTATCTGATTGTCACAATTATTGCTAGGAACCTTTGGAACATTTTGTTTCTAGGTAATGGCGTAAAATTATTAAATGTATTGTGAGTATTCGTATTTTGTATGTCTTGTCTGTCAATATATCTTGACTGAAAATATAATTTGTATATAACGTTTGTTATATATTATGGGAGCAATATTTTCTTTAAATATACTAATCAAAGTACACGGAAAATCATCTTCCGTTCGCTCAAATATTGCCGATTATTGGTTAAGATTAAAAATTAACAGTCATTCTGTACTATTACGATAGCGACTGACAAAAATGAAATTGAATGAGCTTGTTTATTGGTAAGAGATTTATGTTCTTATTATACTTTCGTCAAAGTTGTAAATTTAAGACAATATATGTTTTAGGTATCAGAAAAAAATTGGTACTTATGATAAGCAACAATGGGAAAAAACTGTGGAACAACATATTCTTGGAGGATTTACGCATGTTCCAATGAGAACTGCAAAACTAAAAACAGAATTTATTGATGTAGATCTTGTACGAGGTAATAAATTAAAAAATTATCAAATTAAAGTTTATATTAAGTTGTTTAATGTTATGATATCTATTCTGATACTTAATATACTATTTATATAATATTGATGCATATAGGTTCTTCCTTCCCAAAGGCTAAACCAAAGCATGGATTGTCAACAGTAGCTTGTTTGGCACTTCAGCGTTTATTATTTTTTCCTTTATATAGAAAATGGTGGATACAGCAGACTAGTTTAACAATTTTTGCTTTATTTTTATTATTATATAGTTTGCAATTAATCAATATGTGTATATGTTTTTGTCAAATGGCGAAGGACAATGAAAGTGATGTATGAAAATTTTATTAATATTATAAATATACATACATAGATATTCACATATATATGATGTGATATATATATATATGTGTGTGTGTGTGTGTGTGTGTGTGATATATATATACACATCTATATTAATTAGGATATATGTTTGCAGATTATATCAACATCAGAGGTATTAATACCTGCTATTATGATGTTGACATTATGTATCGTTCATTCTCATATTGTGTCAACTCATTCAGGACCAACAATAGGTGATGGACAGAATAAGCAAAAAATGGTTAGACGTTTAAGACATACGAGATGTCGAATAGGTAAATCAAGGACAAGACAAAACTTGCGTAAGTTTTTTTTATTATAAAATTATTATCTGTATATGTAATATGTGATATGTTATATTTTAGTTTGTATTTACTTGTATATATTGTGTAGGATTGCGTGAAGATTCTAAATCATCTCAAGATACAGCATCTGAAAAAGCTAGTACAATAAGTGATGAAGTATTAACATCTGTGCGATTTGCTAAAAAAGTTGTAATTGAAAATTCTTTGACCGTTAGTCGATCGCAGGTAATTAATTTGTTATTTGAAATATATAAATATAAGTTTGAAAAATTTTATACATAGTAGTTTATTTTTGTAGGAATTTCAAACATCTTGTGATAATGAGCCAATGAATGTGGCTGTGAATCATCCCCTACCTGTAAATGAAGCTTCAGCTAGTCATACTCAATCAAGTTAATATATTATATACTGTACTAAAACTTTCTGTTTTATTGTTAGTTACATGTTTTTGTTTAAATGCAAAGTATATTCTTTTCTGTTATAGATGAAGTTTCAGATCAAAATATGAAAAATGTACATCAAGATGATGATGGATTTGAAAGCTTGAATGGAAATGTATCTAGTGATAATGATAAAAGCGCTGCACGGACGCCAGTAGAAAAACTTAAACACAAAAGAGAGTTACTTAAAAATAATGAGGAACGTATTCTTTGGTTAGAAGATTCTACTAGTCAACAAGTTTTACAACCAAAATTTTCAGGTTTGATTTGTGATAAATTTTATTTGAATATATGATACAATATTCTATATATTTTAATATAATGTATTTTTATATTTTAATTATAGATATATATTTATTTATTAAATCTTTTTATAACTTATCTAAAAGTCTATTCTTTTTTTTTTTTATTTAAAATTGCATTTATTTTATTAGTCACAAAAGATTAATTATTTATTTTGAACTGCTAACATGCTTTAATCTTTGTTGAAAAAATAAAATGATCTATTAGCTAAAATAATTGTCTTCCACTTTCCATGCAGCACCTGAATTGTTAAAATCACAAGACAATTCTTCAAATAGTGAAGCAGAAACTTCTAATAAGATGGTAAATATCCTTGTCTCTTTTAGTTTCTATATTTTATTTTCTATATATTAATTAATTTATAATATACTTTATTATATTAGATAACTGCAAGTTTCATAAATTTATTTTAATTAGGTATAAATGTATTAAAAATTTAAGTTATTATTTAAAGGATAAAGATCATTGTCTAGTATCATCAAGAGATGGACGACAACAATGTGAAAGTGAAGAAGAAGGAGAATGTGAAGAAACAATTACAAATCATTTAACGGAAGCTACAACATCTGCTACAGAATGGATGGGAGTAACAACAAATAGCGATGAATGCAGTTACAGGCAAATAAATTCTCAAAATTAAAAATTTTATTTAATTACTTTTCTGTGAATTAGAATCTTATTCAATGAAAAAGTTTCACTATTTATATCTTTATACTAAATTAATTTTTAAAAATTTTTACAGTTCAGAACTTGAAGAATCTGATCTACGTAATGAAACTAACAAAAATTATGGGGAATTTGTTGAACATCCTTTTTCTTGGGAATTTGAATTACCACCCTCCATAATGCTTAGTTCTAATTGTGCTTCATACGATCGCGGTAATATATGTTAAATTATATTTGTCTGGCGGTAATTTTAAGTAGAATTTATATATATTACAATTCATAATTCATTAAAAATAATAATTAAAACTTCATTAAATTTTAGTTTCTTGTACTATATGGACACGACGTGATATAAAAAAAGCTGAACTATCGGTGTTGGATATCAGTTCGGCTATTATTGCTAGAGTAGAATCAATGCCTGAAAGTATGAATTATTTTTATGGAGGCTTAATGCTTAGTGTGGTATTAGCTTTAATACCATCTATTAAACGATTGAGTGATCATGTCGGAATGGACAATAGTAGTAATGTAACAAGTTCCTTAATACCAAATGACTTGACTTATGTCAATTTAGAGACATATAGTGATATTTTATCTAAAGTTATAGATTTGGCTTTTGGGACAACTCTTTGGTAAGTATACAATAGAAATCATCACGTAATAAATATTTTAATGTAATCAAAATCATCTTACATGCAATAAAATACAAGGTCATCAACAATTAATAATTGTTACTATTAATTTCAGGGAACGTATAGTAGTGCTTATATCAGCATTTGAAAGACTTATATTATCCTCTTTATTATTTTTTTTATTAGCAGTTGCAGAACGTACTTATAAACAAAGACTCTTATATGCAAAATTATTTTCGCACTTGACATCATCAAGACGTGCCAGAAAATCTGACTTACCTCATTTCCGGCTAAATAAAGTACGCAATATAAAATTATGGTTAAGCGTTAGATCTTATTTGAAGGTAAAATAAAGTATATATATATATATATATATACACATTTAATCTTAAACATATTTCAACAAATTTTTTAAAAAATAATAAAATATATTATATATTATAGAGAAGAGGACCCCAACGTTCTGTGGATGTAATAGTATCAGCAGTATTCATTGTTACATTATTATTATTATCATTTGTGAGCTTGGAGTTGATTAAGGTAAAAATAATATAAAAATGTCATAATGGAATTATATATAAAGAATTCTATAAATATAATATTAATATTCATAATGAAGGACCTTGAAAGTTTACATTCCCGATATAACGTTGAAGCACTGTTCTGGAGTTTTTCTCTCGGAATATTTATATTACGTTTTATGACATTGGGTACAAAAATTAATAAAAAATACAGAAACCTTTCTGTGTTAATAACTGAACAAGTAATTAAAATAAATTTCATACTGTTATACATATTATAAAACATTATTCGTAGTTATCTGAATTTGAAGTATTTGATATTGTGTTTTGTTTTAGATCAATCTATATTTACAAATAGAACAAAAGCCACATAAAAAAGAAGAGCTTATGGTAGCAAATAATGTACTCAAATTAGCAGCAGATTTGATAAAGGTGAGATTTTTAGTGAGAATTTATATTTTTGTTACTGTATTTATAAAACATGAGAATTAAATAAAATAATTAGTATATATATTTTCAGGAACTTGAATGTCCATTTAAAATATCTGGTTTGTCAGCTAATCCCTATTTATACACAATTACAAAAGTGGTACTGTTATCTGCTCTCTCGGGTGTTCTTTCAGAATTACTTGGATTTAAACTTAAGTTACATAAGATAAAAATCAAATAACAGGAGGGATGTTATATTAAATATTTATTTCCATATGACTACTACCTCATGATGATAAATCATTAGCGAAAATAATAATTTTTTTATTGATACTCTAGAGTATTGTTTTGAGCGAACATTAGAAGAAAATATTTTATTTTTTAATTTCCTAGTTATAGATATATACATATATGTATACACATATCGGGGTATATGTATACCATTGTTATTTCATGAAATTGTTAGGAATATTATGTTTTATAGCAAAAAATTAAATCACTAAATTATTTTAATTTATTAGAGTAAAAGATAATAAAAATTTTGCTTATAATTTAGTAAACTATTGAAATATTGAAAATATCAATATTAAATTTATTTCTTTTAAAACAGCTTTTTATGTGTTAATTTACATGTGTTAAACTTATTATGGTAATAGTAAGACTTAGACATAATTGTTTGTTGATAACATTTAACAAACAGTTAAATATATATTTATTAATGCTTTGTATATATAGAATATTTAAATATTATGTACATATAATATTGTAAATATTTATGTAAACAATGCTTTAAATGGAATATATAGAATATAAAATAAAATAATTAAGTTAGATATGTATAGATATATACTCTTGCAAAATTGCAAATATTACGATTATCATATACATGATATGAATTTGTATTAGATTGTATTAGATTTTCTTTTCACGAATCTGTTTCTTAAAAGTAATATTACATGTAATATTGATTTTCGTTTAAATATCTTTAACAGATTTAAAAAGTATTAAAGTATCTGTGTAATAATTCATGTAATTGTATTTAAGTTTGAGTATTAAAGTTATTTTCATATATGTCAATAAATGAAAGATAATGTAATCTACTTATTTGTGAGTAACTATTGTGTACTTATATCATAAGTAATTATTGAACAAAAAAAAGAAAATTACAAAATTATTAATTAAATTACTACTATTAATGAATAGAGAAATGTAGCATAAAATTGGCATCAATTTTCGAATCTAAAAAAATACTTGAAAAATTTATTTTTCATTCAAACCATTATAATGTTTAGATTAAATAAATGAATGCTTGCCCTCATTTATAACTTTAACTGAGTGTTAATGTAATAAATGAATAGAAATTTAGTCGAAATGGAAATCGAATTAGCATTCATTCGTTTAATCTACAGACGAAGTCTGTATTTGATCTAAATGCTCCAATCAAATCAATAAAGTTCCATGTGATACGAAAATGATAGGGATGTCAAGTGATCCCCGAAAAATGGAATATGAAAAGGCGAATATGAAAAAGCTTGAAATGTCAGGTCTATTCTATTTGTAGTTTATGTTATAATCAAAATCAAACATACATCCATTGGTTGAGGATTAGGAATAAGTTCTTCAATGCAACGAAAGATAGCGTTCGAACACATAGAAGTTTTTATTCTATCATATTATTACGTGAAATATAATTGAAATTTTAAATAAAATGGATATAGCTTTATTTTAATTAATTAAGTGACTGTGATTATGTGTTCCAAATAAGACTGAAATTCTTTTTTTAAATCACTATATATCAAGAAAATCTTAGACAGGGAGTATTAAATTGTACCTAACCCAACATTGTTAAATTCAGTGAATTAGTGTTTATAATTTTCAGATTTATATTTGTGATATATAATATATAAAGGTATTATTTCGAAACTATATGAAATTAACAATGATGTATCATAATATTAATTTACATTGTTTGCTAAATATGAAAATCATATGCATTTAATTATTAATTTTTTTATAGACAGAAGCAATTGAAATACTTTATACAATTATTTTTATAGCCATATCATTATAATTAAATATTTATCATTTGTTTATATCATTTATTACAATAACATGTTAATATTATTAATATAACATTATAATTATATTTATAAAATCTTTGATCTTTTGTGAATGCGTACATGAAATAGAAAATTTAAAAAAAATAATTTTATCATAATAATGTCTATTGTATGATACGTATTTCACATAAACAAAGTTTAAATAATGATTAAGACTATTTCAATGTCAAATCATGTTAAAACTTTTGTGATATATTTTTGTGCTATATATATTTTCTAAATATATTACATATTATTTATATAAATAGATTGAAAAATATGTTAAACTTGCATGTATTTTTTGTTAGCTGACAATATAAGCATTTTCTACTTCTCAACAAATTTTATTTTTGTATCATTAAGTGCACTATTCGGACTAGTAACAGGTTCAATTTTTCAATGTTGTCCCTGTCTAGTTTCGGAGCCAACCAACTGTGTCAACTACATCGTACAATATTCTAACTATATAATTATATCATTTATGCAATATGTACTCATGGATATATAATAGGCCCCAAACTGCTAACACTAATGCAAATGTCCAATTTTCGTTGCCATTTTTAAAGTGGTTTCAAATTGATTGGACTTTGGCCTCATTGGTGAAAGTGGTGTGGCCATACAACGTGCTTGATATTATTTAATCCATGGTTTATTATACAAAGAATTGAAACAATACATTTTGCCGCAAAGATAATTAAAAATTATTTGCTTGTTATACAAATGCGTTAAATAATTAATTAAATATAAAAAATCATAAGATACAAAACATCCACTATAATTGAAATTTCATATGTTATTGATAATTAGATCTTGCAGTATTTTAGCAGATCCTTGTTGTACATACAATGGAGAAAGAAGTTCCTGAAGAAATTGCTCTATCAAGTATGGCTTCTCAAAATGAAAACATAAATGAAATAATTTTGGATAATCAGCAAAATATATTGGAAGTAAATACTGATAATCAAAGTAGTAGAATGTCGGACAAGAGTAATTCTAGTGATATAATGGAAGAAGAAACTGTATCTGCTGATGATACAAATGCATACAATGGTTCTACTGAAGATTGTATTATGGAGTCTAATACAGACAGTATTGCAGCTACAGATGATTTAAGACAGTTTGATGTTTTGGATGACTTAGAACGTCATCCAGATCAGAATTGCTGTGATATGGATTCTGATACCAATGAAAGTATGGATTCTGATGTACCTGATGAAGAAATTGAAGCCATGCTTGAAGAAGGTAAATCTACAGATACTTCAAAACAATTTTGTTATTGTTTTGTGAGGTAAAGTATGTAAAATAAAGAGAAAAAGAAACTAATTTATAGTAAGCATTATATTAATATGAAAGAAACTTATAAGAGTAGGTTGAATTGCAAAATTTATACATGTCCAAAATAAAATTATAAATAGAAAGAAATAAGATCACTTGTTATTTCTTTTTGTACTTCTCATATAGATCATGCAGCTGCAGAGTATTTTTTTAGTTAAGTATTATGTGCTACTATTAGGTTTACCAGAAGAATTTAAAGGCAAAAGAAAAGACAAGAAGGATAGTGTACCATATGAAGAGAAAATAAAGCTCGTCTTAGATGGTATGTATTTAAATGTTTAATATAGGGTATACCAGTATCGATAATACAACCGAAGAGAGGATAATTTTACATGAAAAAATAATTCGCTTGTATTACAGAGGCTGGGACAAACTGTATAAAACTATAATAATATTTAGACTTTTAACAATGCTGTTTAAATAAAAGGAAAAGTTATATGAAGTGTAATTTATAACAATGCAATCTTTTTTGCAGAAATTGGACATAATCACTTTGATGTACTTCCAGAAGGTTGGGTACAAGTAACACATAATAGTGGAATGCCTTTGTATTTACATAAACAAAGTAGAGTTTGTACTCTTGCAAAACCATATTTCCTTGGACCTGGCAGTGTGAGAAAACATGAAGTGCCTGTTAGTGCAATACCTTGCCTTCAATATAAAAGAGCTCTTCATGAAGAAGAAGAAGAAAGAAAAAAGCAACAAGAGCGTGATCCAAACGCAGAAGTTTGTAGCCTTCCTAGTGCAAAAATTGAAACAATTCAAGAAAATCGAGCGGCTCATTCATTAGATAGTGAACAATTAAGAAATTATTGCCAATCACTATTTCGCTTTAAAGCTATTAAAGTAATGAGATTTCAGTAAGTATGCATTAATATTAAAGAAAAGCTGGATGTTTCATACAACAGAAAAGAAACTAGTTATTACATTTTACAACAATTATTATTAACTATTATTTAGATCATGGTCAGCAAGAAGGAAATTTACAAAAAATAAAAAACACCGTAAGCAACTTGAACGACCTACTTTACCTGATGGAACAAAATTAATAACATTTCCAGTCAGTAGTTCTGGATTAGCGGGAAGTAGTAGTGGTAATGTTGGAGATGATAGCACTGGACAAAGGCCACCAAAACATTGGATAATGAATCCCTCAGGCAAAAGTTATGTTTGTATACTTCATGAATATGTGCAACATGCACTTAAAAAACAACCAACTTATAAGTTTAAGGAATTAGGTCAGTTAAATAAAAATAATATATATTAGCCAAATAATATATGTTATATTCATTTATCTTTTTGATATATTTGCAGAAAATGCAGCAACTCCATATTCTGCTGTTGTTTGTATAAATGATATGGAATATGGAAGTGGTTTTGGTAGTAGCAAAAAACAAGCAAAAGCTAATGCTGCACGGAAAACTCTTGAAATTTTAATTCCCCAAATGAGAGATAAAATTTCTGGTGATAATGGAGGAGATACAGTTTCTGGTAATAACAGTCGAATGATTAAAGCATCGAGAGCAAATTCCGATACAGATTTATCATTCTTTGATGAAATATCGATTACTGATCCACGAGTTGCAGAATTTTGTGCAAAAACAACTGAACCGTCACCGCATGCTATTTTAATTACTTGTCTCCAACGAAATTATGGTCTTGGTGATATGCATATTAATTATTCTGTAAACACATTAAAGCATCAGCGCAATGAATTTACAATGCGTGTTGGTAAACACGAAGCTACTGTCGTAAGTAAAATTATAATCTATTATTTTATATACTTCACTTTTTGTTTATTTTTATGTCATTTTTATTTCGATTTATTTTCTGTATAAAATATTTTTAATTATGATGTACAATTTGAAAAAATTCTAGGTCTGTCGAAATAAGAAAGATGGTAAACAACGAGCAGCCCAAGCTATTCTACAACTTATGCACCCTCACATTCAATCTTGGGGATCCTTGCTAAGGCTTTATGGATCTCGAAGTGTAAAATCTTTCAAAGAAAAAAAACAATTAGAACAAGAAATCACGTTGTTACAAGGTAAAGCTGCTATCAATCAGCCAAATCACGCTATTTTAAGTAAACTTAGGCAAGAAATGCGCAAATTGGCAGAACAAAGACAAGCAATACAACCTATCGGTAAGTTTGTACCGCCAGATTTACCAACTGGGTCTGCAGCTAACTTGAACAACGTGGATTTATAACATACTAGTCAACTATGTATTCTATATATAATAATTTATTTTGTAAGTTTTGTCTTTGATTTGTTTTACATTTTATGTTTTAAAAATGAGCGAAAAGTATTTTATATATGATATTGTATTATAATATGATATAATGTAGGCATTTAAAAAATATGGTGCTGATCCTTATACACTTTGATATTTCTTTTTTATGTATCTTTAAATCAATTAATCAATTCAATAATCAACAATATAGTAAAGTAGTAATGGTTAGAACAATTGGAAACCATTTTTAAAATTTGGATTTCAAGAATATTTTTTTTTATGTATACAGTATGCATAAAGATATCACAGAATACTACCTCAATCGCATTAGTTTTTTTGCATTGGAAACTATTATATTAAATGTACTTGACAATATTGTTTTTTAAAATCAATTCTTTTATCTATATGATCTATTATTTTTATTTAAAGCGAGAATTTAATATTACATATAAATGATCATTAATTAAATATATTATTTTATATAAAATTACCAATTACCATAAACAAATAACAATTTATAGAACATAATCATTTATTTTTAAAGAACTGATTACAATAAAATATACTTCAGTTCTATAAATGTTAAGGCATCAATCTTGCATATTAATAATTGTTACAATCAAGAAGTATTACAATTGTCTTAATAAATACCCTAATAGAATTAATGAAATATAAATAAATTATCAAATAATGCATAAAATATTTATATCTCTTGTCTTCTTTGGCACTTTTGTATGATTTTTTTTTCTATATTACTATTTCTTCATTTTGCATTTTACACGATATCTTACTAATTACTTAACAATGCAAAAATAAGAGTAATAACGTAAGTATCGAAATATATTTTAAAGTTTAAACTATCGTCATAAATATTACACTGTTACATACTTTCTAAATTCATTGAAAAGGATTTTTCTTTTTTTTATTTTACTATTATAGTATTATAGTATTTTAGTAGAAAATACAAACATTAATCTTCATTATTTGTATTATACTATAAATTATGGATTTCTTTTGTGTTAATTGTGTGTGAACGAATTTTTGTTTGCTTAATTACAATACAGTATGTTACACATATAAATATTTTCCTATATAAATTATATATTATGCTGTAATACAGTAAGTAATATGATTAATATAAGATTCTAATATTTCATTTCACATTATAATGTGAACATTGTAACTACTATGAAATACAGAAATTTTGTTTAGTTCTTTTTATGTTATAAAAATTGTTATTTTCAGATAATACTATTTAAGAATTTTAAATTTACTGGTTATATAATAGTTGAAAAATATCCAAATTTTATTAACAAACTATAACAAATTGTATTGTATTTTAAGCAAAATTTTAAACTTTTTATCAGCTGGTCTAAAAATCTTGTTAAAGTAATGTAAGATAAATACATTTATATAATAGGCACATGTAACAGGACTAGAATTATAATGATTGTAATAAATTATATTTCAATGGAACATATTTTTATTATAAAATAAATATGTATCATCCTTTATTTCAAAACATAACTTAAGTTACAGATATGTTTTATTTGTGTACTATTTGTAACTTAAGCTACAACGTTTTTAGTTTTTTAATTTCATTTCATATATATCTATATTGAAAGCAGTTTTATTGAATATGTGTATATTTACTGTTTTAAAAATATGTAATTAACAAATATTAATTTTTAAAATTTTATATTATATAATATTTGGAAAGTATAAAGTTATTGTAAAATTTTATAAACTTTTAATGAATTTAAAAAATGTCATTGTTATTTTATAACGAAATCAATAATTACATTTTCATATGATAATATACATAGTAATATAGAAATTATTGAAACTTAAAATATTTATAAATAATATTTTTATAGGTTTCTCCTCACATATATTGAAATTAATAGTGAGAACTATTTTGATTTTTTTTTTAATAATTTTAATTTATGTATCAATATGACAAGAATCACTACTATCAATATATTTCATTGCTGAATGTAAGTGCCATTTTATGTGGTTGCATGTTTTCACATTAACACTACTATTATTGTTTTAGTGTATATATTATATATATTATGTTAAATATATCTACGTTTATGATTTTCAAATACTATTTACAATCTATATAAGTATAATGTTTGTCTTTATTTTCACACTGACATTTAATGGCACAAATTGTAAAAAATATAAATACATTTTAAGAATCCACCAAACCAAAATTATTATTATTATAAAAATTATAGAAAATATATACTTAACATTTATTCAAATTTTAATTAAAAAAACATTTTCAATACATAAAAATTATCAGAACAAAAACAAATGTATAAATGTATAAATACTTTAAAAAGCAATAATTTTTTAATGTAATTATACAATATTTTATATTCACCATAACGTTAAACAATTTGTATCAATAAAGATATATTCAATACATTATTTATCAGTACTTTTGAAATTTTGTATGCTTTTAATCGTTACTTAATAAATGCAAGAAAAAATTATGAAATTTCATATTCTAAGAAGATGAAATTGAATCTTTGTATTTAAGAACATTTGTTTTGTATTAACTAAATATGCAATAAAAAAAATGCTATTCTATATTTTGATACAAGTCAAATCATATTTTATGGTGTTTCTTATATTTCATATAATATAAATGAAAATAATAAGACACTACCATATGCATCATTTTTTATCAACACTTTTAACTTTGGAGGCACGTCAATTCAATTGTTAACATATATTTATATATAATTCGTTTTAGATTATTTTAATACTTGATAAATGCAATGTCTTTTTTAAATCATATTTAGTTACATCTTTTCAGAGTTAGTCATTTAATATTTCTAGTCACTTTCAATTCATTAAAACAAATTAAATATTGTTATGAGAATATAAAATGATATGAATAAATACGAGAACATTATGTTCAATTAATCTTCATAGAATGTTAAAAATTATTTTGTTTGAAAACCATTATATAGATTCATCATATGTACTGTTTCCAGAGAGAGCCATTTTTGATAAACTAGAAAGACTTCGGCGTGGACTACTACCAACTAAAAAACTACTGCTAGACTCTGAGAAAATTTTCCGGAAACTGGAAAGTAGATATTATTATTAAAAATAGAAATTTTTAAGTTTTTTGTATATTACTTACAATTTACGAATTCCAGATTCAGATGTCTTTTTCCAAGGTGCATCATCTGGTTCATAAGGAAGAGGGCCTTGAACTGGAGCATCTTTATCATCTTCAACTCTATAACATAAGATAATATAGTTAATATAAACTCTATAACAAAGATAATATAATTTCTTGAACGTTGTAATATTAAATTATATTACAATATTAAAAAATATAAATTATATTATATTAATTAGTTAATTATATTATATATTAATTTTCAAATTAATAGAAGCAAATTATTATTGTATATATACGTACGTTTCAGGTTTTGGTCGATATAATTCTAATTCATCTTCTAAATCTGATACTCTAGCTTTTAATTCATTTCTTTCATGTAAAATTTCTTTCAATTCAGCAGTAGTAAATCTTGGTCTATCAGGATCATCTAAATCATATATAGCCTTATTTGTTAAATCTGGGCAACCCTGTAATTTACTCAAATCTTCGTTTTCTTTTTTTGCTAAACCAAGGCGAGCTCGAAGATTTATCAATTCACGATTTTGATCTTGCAGCTGAGCTAAGAAGTCTGCTCGTTCTTCTACTAAACCACGTGCTTGCATTTGAGCTTGACGCTGTTTCCGTTTTAATTCTCGACCGACAACCCCAAGTTTTTCAACCTGTGCTGTCAGCTATATAAAATACAAAGATAAACTACAATGACATATGTATTATTAATGTTAAGAGAAAAATTATAATAAAGAAAAATTATAATATATCAAATATCATATTTATAGTATTTAATCACATTAATTATATACGAACATAAGTACCAATTTACATTTTCTATTTCCATATTTTTTTGCAGTAGTTCTTTGTCTCTTCCTCGGATTTGATCTCTCTGTTTATCTATCATAGATCTTAAATGCTGCAATACTGCAATATCAACTTCTTGACTAGCTGTAAAAGCTGAAAATATATTTATATAAGTGATATAAAATATATATGTAATAGGACATTTATAGCATTGTGTTAGTAGAGAAAAGGTGGTTAGTACTTTGTTTACTGCTGTACTGACTATCACTACGTGATTCCTGCAGAGCTTCTGATAATCGTCTATTTTCTTCTTGTAACCTTGTAACCATTTCTACTAGATCACGTGATTCTTGACGCCAATGTTCTTCAATTTGTTCTAGTTCCTATGTAATGAGTAAACATCTTTGAATAAGTGAAAAAAATATAACAAGCTTATGTATTTATGAATTTATTTAAGCAAAATACCTTTTCAAATCTTTGTCTATCTTCAGCTTTTTCAATTTTATCACTTTCCAATTGTGAAATCTTTGCTTGTAATTCTTGAACTGTAGTGTTTTCACGTTCATTTTTGGTTGCAAGATTTTCTAGTAATTCTAATGCATGTATTACTTTTGGCATAAGATTGGTTACAGATTCTACTCCATAAGAATCTATCAGTTTTTCACATTCTTTCCCTATTTCAGATGCAATATCATAAACATCTACAACTGATATGTCGGATACTACAGCATATTCTTCCATATTATGGGTTGTATAATTTCCCAAACAAAAAGGCATGAATATTTTTTATATCAAAGTATATTACATGTGAATTTGCTGAAAATATAATAATATGCTTTAAGATAAATCTTGTTAACTATTAACCAATATTAAATTTTAGTATATTAATATTAAAATTAACTTATTTATCTGCTATGATTACTTTTAAATTCAATTTCAATACCTTCAAATATATCACCATCAATAAAATTAAACAAGATACAATGAAACATAACAAAATAATCTATTATTATCGTTGTAACTTTATCGTTATAATACAACACATTTTTAGAATAATCTAGGCGTGGCATTAAGAAATTTAAATAACATTCGTTGTACAAGGATATTAATGATTAGAACATATACATCGATAACGATTAATATGCTTCAAAATATGAGATCATTTCGAGCACAATTACAATGCTTATGTCAGCTTCTATTTAGCAATATATGGCAGTACTACTGATAGAAAGTTCTACTTTTAATATACATACGTGTGCATATAGAAGATTTTCATCACAAGCGGCCGTACGTATTTTTTCAATAGACTGAAATAGAAGAGAAAATTAAAGAAGTTTAAAATCGACAGTTTAGTAACACTTAGATCGAGCCTAGTCTTCTTTTTGGTACTGCGATTTTCGCAAACTGTATCTATCGGCAAGTGTTAATCAAAGCGATACAGTGATTGGACATTTCCAATCGAACACAATCAAGTTTATTTTAAGTTTAACAATTGCATATTCTTATTTATAACAATATCTTTCAAGGAAATTTGTCTCAATATATATTTGTTCATATTTTTATATTACATTCTTTTCACGTAAAGCAAACTATCGATTAATATTTCTTACATGTAAACTATATTGTTAATTTTACATTCTAAAAAAAAAATAGAATATTTATATTCTATAGATATTTGTATTTGTTAAATTAATATGGTAATTTAATTGGAAATTTATAAATACTAAAAAATTTGTTTATAAAAGAATTGATTTTTATTACTTTATTTTTCTCAACATTTAATATTGATGAAGTATCTAAAAAAAAATTTTTGAATCATTTTTATTTGTATTATATATATATATATTTAAAATTAATGTACTTTTATGTTATTTAAAATAGCAAAGTGCATTTATTTTCAATCAATTCTATATTAATTTAATTAATATTATGTATTTTTAATGAAATTTAAATAGGAAAAAATAAAACATAACACCAATAATTAATAAAAATGAAAATTTTTGTTTTTATAGTATTTAATATCTAATTATAAGTATGTATTACCTTTCAAAATATATTTTTGAAACATATGTAAAATCTTAAAAATTAATAAATAATCTTAGAGAATATATATATATATATATATATATATATATATATATACAAGTTTTTTCACAAAAAATTTATTTGGTTGATTTTTCGGTATCTGTTTTTATTAAAAGATTTTCTATGTAATACAATAATGTACATCGTATTTCATGTTACATTTTTAGTATATAGTTATGTAATTAAGATATTAAATTTCCAAAGTTTGAATATATATATTAAATTTTATATAATTTATATAGATTGATAATAATAATACATAGCTGTCTCATTAAAAGTACAAATCAATATATAACAAATAAAAATCTCCTTGTAAGTTATTATAACAAATCATAATAAAATATAGTATATCTTTAATTAAACAGAAATTGGTTTTATTTATGTAAAATAACTATAAAATGTAGTTAATTTGTCATAATTTTTTTTTTTAATTGATATGCTTTTTAAGAAAATTGACAATATAATTAGAAGTATAAAATTACAGAAGTATAAATATGAGAAAAATTATGATCTTAAATATTTAAAAATACTATCATATGTAATTCTAAAGTAGAAGAATTCTTGTATCATTGCCATAATCTATTTTGTTACGTAAATATTAAATATAACAACAAAATAAATGATAAAATCTTATTAAATATTAAACATCATTTGTAATAAATTGGCAAGTATATATTTGAAAATAATATATACTGTATGTCTTCGATAAAGATATGTAAAGTACATCGATAATGAAATTTTGAATAAATTGAAACATGCATTAAAACATTTTTTATATAAAAAATTATTCCATTATTAAGTTATTAATATTATAATGCTGTAAAATTTGATATAATTTGTATTTGTAAGTTATACAAAATAATATTATTATAACATACATTATATTTAAACATTTGAAGCACACTTAATTCTATTGATTCAAAATTGTTAATAATTTTTAACTAAATTTGAAAAAAAAAATCTGAACTATTTTAATAAAGACAGTTTTCCAATAAGCTAATATAATATCACATTGCAATAAATATTTTATATTAAATACCAGTTTTAAAATAATAAAAAAATATAGTAATTTTCAACAATAAATAGAACATACATATAGTTATATTTTAACCAATACTCATATTGCATTTTCATTATTATTAACTGTTTCTTAACTACCATAATCTATTGGTAATTGTACTCATATATTAATACTTATTTCACTATTTGTTGATAAAAATTGAGCTACTTTAATAATTGAATTTTGATATATTATTTATATATAAGTAAATATTTTATAGTTGTGCAATAATTTGCATTATTGGCAAGTATCAATATATCTTCCGTTATTAAAATAAATATTGTGCTAATATTTCATTTAAAATATTATAAAATTTTGACAATTATATTTTAATTTCAAGTATTTTTCGTATATTTTAATCAATACAAAACTACATAATAAAATATTTTTTATATTTAATATTACAGTAGCAAAAGTGAAAATATAGGATAAAGTTACTATAAGACAGATGAATTGTTAATTTCAGTTAGCTTTTGATTTACAACTTTATCTAACAATATTTAGAAATTTGAAACATACAATTTTATATTTATATAATATTTTGTGCTACTAAGTTTTTAAACCATATTTCAGGATATATATTATGATTTTATAACCATACATTAAATTAAGTACAATAAGAACAGGCGCAATTATTATCCATTATTAATCAAAGTAAAATTTACAAATGTGCCAATATACTGTATTCATTTTTAAAATAAAATTAATTTGTCATAATGATATTTAATTAATTGCATTAAATTTTAAAAACATTTGGAACAATTTCCAAAGTATAAATTATATTATGCAATATATTAAAGTAATAATTTGGCACTTTTTTTAATTTTGTGTATATATATATATAATATATATATATTATATATTTAAATACATTATATATATAATATATTTAAATACATTAAATATATTCAAATATAATTTCAAATAAATTGAATCAACTGTAGCATATATAGTAAAAAGTTATTACATAAATAATTTATTAATATAATATATATAGGATTGTATAGGAAATTGCTCTAAATGCCAGTCTTCATGATAAATTCGGCTGATACTGTTTAAATATCAATATTCAAGAAAAACTTATTTCAATAAAACTTTTGTATATTTTTTTTTCAATAAAACTTTTGTATATTTTTTTTTAACATAATTCTAAAATTACTAGCATCTAAAACGGATAACATCAATAAAAATGTATAAATCTATAAGTTTTGATATTATTTCCTAATTTGTCTATCTATATTTATAAAATAAAAAAAAACTACTATTACTTTAATATCTATAGCAATATTTTCTATAATATTTTTATATTCTCTTCAATAACTTCAGATAAACGTTTTAAACTCTACAATATGGTTTAATACATATAAGTCTAGCAGTATCACATATTATTTTATTAAACCCTGTAAGAAGGAAATAATATTTTGAATAGAATTACTCTATTGTTAACTGAATTTTAATTTGTGTACTTCAGTCGTCTTACACATTAAACTTTAAATTCCAGATTATTTGTAAGAGATATAATGGCATGTTCTTGTGTAATAGCGGCTAACTCTTTTAGCCATTCATCTAAAACAACTGCACATAAGACCACATTTTGTATTGGACTTACTTCATTTGGGGATTCCCAGGACGTTTTTATATAATACCTAATTGATGAAAAATTTTACAGTATTATTATAATTTTTATAAAGCATAATTTGTATATCATTGGCTAAACTTGTATATTTCTTTAATAACATTATTTAGTGATTTTGTCAATGATATAATAATAATAATAATAATAATAATAATAATAATAATAATAATAAAATATTTACCGGTATCCAGAACCATGACCAATAGCTTCTAATTGATTTTCAGACATACCAGTTGATTGATTAACAGTATTAATTAAACTACTTGGACCAGAACTACCACTTGATCTTTTAAGCATTTGTGTAAAAGATGATGTCAAACTCCATCTCTTATTTTCACCTAAAAAATATTTTTTTTTAAATAATTTTGAAATATAATATTTACATACTATTCTTAATTATAAGTGATCATTATACCTACATCGTTTAAATACTTCCAGAATGCACGATAATTATAAAGAATAATATAATAATTATATACATGTATCAATGAAATATATTTTTAAATTGTTATATTTTATAATAAAATATAATTTTAAATAATCAGAAAATGTACCTCTCGAAAATGATTCTCCACTTAAAGAATTTCTTTTAGTAGGCGCAGAATGAGCAGCAGCTTCTAATACATTTTTCCTTGCATTCACTAATTTATCTTCGCGATTAATTAAAAATAGTCGTGCTTGTTCGACCAATATATCCACATTATTGTGTTGGGAAAGAAATTGGTCTATTTTATGTTTTAAAGAGGCAAGTACCTAATGAAAGGTGAATTTATTTTTATAATCTTGTATATTAGTTATGAAATATGTAAATGAAAAAAATAATTGTACAATTACAAACCTGAAAAAGTGATCTAATACTGGGTTGAAATACTAGGGAATGATTTAAAAGAAATGATTGCAACAAGGGCTGTGGATATATTGCCAATCTACTGATAAGACCAGTTAAATGTAAATTAACATATAAATTATTACTTGTCATACATTCGAGTTTTCGTAAAAGAACGTCCAAAAATATACCGACATTTGGTTGTCCATTAAATACATCTTGACGATAATTTTCTTTACTCTGTTTATTCACTGTCAATTCTTCTGGTGTAATTGAATTTGATTCTATGATGCTATGAAGAAATATACTTTGTTCTTTGTTCGATTCAATTTCTATTTCGTCGTGTTCGCTTATTCGATCTTCGCTAGGTTCGTTATCTGGAGTTGATTGCGATGAACCTTTAAATGCGAAGCTTTCATAGCCGCTACTTTCTCCCAATGATAAAAGTGAATTCATAGTAGTGTTTGAATCGTCAATACCGCTATCAAACTCCTTTTTATCTATTAATGATATTTCTTTAGGAGAGTTTGATATTCCAATATCTTCATTTAACAATTCAGCAATATCCGCATCTAATTTTGCTTGTTCTTCTAATGATAATTCTATACCTGTTGCCGCAAGAGGTTCTATCTTTACATTTTTCTCTATTGCATTTAAATCTTTTCCATCCAACAAAGATTGAATATTAATTAACATATTATCTATTGATGAGTTTTCATTACTTTCATTAAAAAGTGCAGATTGCTTTAATGTTTCTAATGACAAAGCTTTGTTTGTTTCAGTTTTCTTTTGAGATTGATCTAATAACATATTGTCATCTATTAAAGTAGTTGCACTGCTAGTAGTACTATCTTTTGGTAATTCTCCATTATATTGATATGACCAATTAGAACAGGCAATACGGCAAGCTCTTATTTTTTGTCGAGCATCACATAAATATGCATGATAATTTCCATAAAGGCTATCTGATAATCTAACACCATAATTTATAGATGCTGGCAATGATTTCAAGGATTCAGATGCAGCGCTTGAATATTTTTCATATGTTGCATTGTTAGGTAACGAATTGAATTGAGAATTTATAGATGTGAATGGTGAACAACAAGTTGGCGTCAAAGACAGAAATTTTTCAGCTGCACGTCCAAAAGGATCTATATCTCTTAATCTTCTACGTTGAGAAAGCATTACATGAGAACAAGGACTTAATGCACCTAGACACAATTCCAACATAATATCTTCACAATTTAAATTGACCAAAGTTTCAAATAGTCCCAATGTTACTATACATAACTAAAATAAAGTAAAAAATTATTATAATTTCTTAGTATTTATCACAATTAATTAATTGAAGTTAAATTGTCATTTTTTACAATAAATAATAAAAATAAAATATATACCCGTGATCTAGAAGATATCCTTTGAATAAGACTATCCAATATTCTGCATTCATCATAATTATCTTCAAGTAAAAATCTAACGAACGAACGCAACAGCCCAGGTTCAGTTACAGAACGGAGAAATAAATCAAAATAAGCTGTAGCTGCAACTAATTCATCCACTGTTGTCTGCAATATTAAAATATTACTTACCTAATTTTGTATATATTACGTTATAATTTGGACTAATGAAAAATTAAATAATAATTTTAAACGACTAAGAATTTTAAAATGCATAAATTATTAAAAATGTATAATTCATAAATTAGTAATTGTTAATAAAACTGCTTCTATTTAATATGTTTATAATTTAGTATTAAAATTTTATTTTGTGGTAAAAGAAGGATATTAGTATTCATAAACAAACTTATTGAAATACATAAAACGTTAAAAATAAACACATGCTGAATCTAATATTAATATAAAATAATTTCAACAAAATGAAAATATGCTTTCTTACAACTTATAAATGCATATAATACGTAAAAATTATTTACATTGTAAAAAGTACAATAATGATATTTAAATACTTATTTGGTTTACAATTATATAAAATAATGAAAAATAACATTTACACAATAAAACAGAAGCAGAGACATATTGAACTTATAGAAATTTGTAAATAGATGTATCAAATTATAAGCAAAAAAAAGTAAAGCATAAAACATAAAACAAAGCATAAGCCAAAAACAAAAAACAAAAATATAAAACACAGATACATTAAAATTTGAAAAATTTAGTCAATGTAATTTGATAATAGGAATAAAATTGTTTTTAGGAAATATGATACATTAAAAAATTTATGTACAAAAGATATAATTTTTATGGATGAGATGTATTTGAAACTTGTTATGTAAAGTTACTAAATATAAGACTGTTGTAATATAATTTGTGATTTATAAGTTGTCTACAAAAGCTTTATGTATAAAATGTGTTTTGTAACTAATTGTAATATAAAATTTCAGTGAAAGCTTAAGCCTCTATTAATATTATGTATAATAAATATCATATAATATTACCAGGATATCATGTATATGTTTATATACTTTGTTTATCATTAATTGAGATTTATTTATTCATCAGGAATATTATAAAAACTATGTTAAAAAAAACCTGTTTCTTTTAATTAATATGTAAATATTTTATTATATTTTATAATTTATTATAATAAAGAAATTAATATTATTTGTAGACTTATGCTTTACTGAAAATGTAGATTTTTTGCTAATAGTGTTTGTACTAACCCAATATTCTTGTGCATCTAGCTGTTCTATGGTCAAACCAACAGAATCCTGAGCACCATAAAAATGTCACCAGATAGCCACCAACAACCATATCGCAACATAAATGATTCGAACTTTATTAGCATTATTATTAATATTTAATTAATACTAAATATTAATATTTATATTTACCATCACCACAATAACAATGTTATATGCATTTAACAATATATCTATGTATATCTATAAGAATCTATTAAACAAAAATGATTAATAAACTTTGCTCAATTCTAATACTTATATTGATTATTAAACCAATTATTACATATGTAATATTTTTAAATAAATATTTCGAAATAAGCCAAAATAATTGAAATTATTATGAAAGTGAAGAAGAAGTGATTAGAAATCAAGAAAAAGTCGTGATTAGCATATTGCAATGTATTAAAAAAAGAATTAATTTCTAAAATGGAGAGATGAAATATTGTATATATTTAATAATTTACTGATCATACTTTGTTTTCAAATAAGCAAGTTGCAAGTACCTTCTTTCACCACACATATATAAAGTAAGAAAGATATTGCAATGTATTATAAACAAAATATATGTGTAATAATTATCTAATAATAAAATAAATGTACATATAAAATTTAATAACAAAATAAATGTATATAAAAATTTAAATTTCTAATAAATTAATTTATAACCATTTGCAGAATGATACAGTTCATCTAAATTAAAATGTAAATGAACAACATATATATATGTCATACCTGTAACAAAGCTGGTCCCATCACAGGTACCAAAAAGCCATGATATAAAAATTCAAGTAACTGTTTTTGTACTAAAGGATGTGCGACTTGTGCGACAGCGTTACAAAAGTCTAAAGAATTCATTAAGTGCATTAATGCTGGTAAATCGTTAACATCATCTGGTGTTAATCGATGCCAATCATCTGTTTCAATATCTAATTTCCTTGGTAGTAATGAATATAGCCCACTTAAACCAGTAGCTAATACCTAATTATTAAATAAATAAAAACTATCTTAGAAACATAATAATATAAACAAATAAATATATAGTAAATGTAAATAATGTGTGAACTATTACAAAAATCACATACAGGACATATGTTAGAATGATCAGCAATATATAAGCCAACTTCATCATTTTTTTTTGATAAAGACATGCAAAGTAACATGGAATCACGTGCTTGTTGTCCTACTCCAGCTTCTCTATGCACATACGGTATCAATAATGTAAAAATAATAAATCTAAAAAAAGATAAAGACACATGTACATATCATGTTGCACATAAGTATATATGTGTAATATTCTACTAACTTGTTTTTTCCTATTGCTGTTGAATGGAAAAATAGATCAAGTAATGCCATATTTTGCATTAGGGCAACACATAATTGGTTTAATAACACTACTAATTTTCCTTCTACTTCTAATGGCATAATATCATTTGCACAATCTTCAAGTAATCGTAACAATGGTCTGGCAACTGGTTCATGGGCAAGAAGATTACCGCTATGTGATACCAAAAGTTCATATAGTTTTAACTGTTCCAGTCGAACAGCATTATTATATCTGCAAGATTATATTCTTTTTATTATAAAAAATAAACATTATATTTATATAAAATAATGTTTAATATTTAAATTTTTATTAATTTCAATTGAAAGATTTTACCTTCCACTATATTTATTCCAATCATAAAGTTTGACAAGAAGATTTTCACTTAATAAATATTCCAAACAAGGGGAGTGAGTTGCTGTTGTAGATTGTCTATAGTTATTGTAAAAGTTAAAATCACGCAATTCTAAAACTAAAAGCGTTACCATCTGATCTACATGATTAACAACTCCAAGAACATCATCTTGATTACATATTCCTTTGGGTGGCTATGGAAATATAATGAAATATTTAATTATAATACTATACTCTTATATACCATTTACTTTTATTTAGACTTATGTTATAATAATATCAGAAAATTGTAAGATACATGATCACACTTAAGATTATGTTATGATTTATGTTTTTTACGTGTGACAAAACTTTTTAACTTTTACTATGCTTTAGAAATTGAACTTACAGATGTACGTAAAATGATTTCGTACACTTGTTGCCAATGTTTACAGAAGCTGTCATAACAAGCTGACGGGTCAGCATCTTTCGGTGGAGAGTCTCTTGAACGTTGCTTGCTAAAACTAGTTCTCAAGGGGCTACTTCGTAACCAGCTCATTTTCTCGGTTTATGTTTTATTTGTTTCCACGTTCATCAGAAATTTGACTTCATGCATCCTTTCTCCTTCAATTCTTTCATATCAACTGCCATATAAAAATAAGATAATCGTTTACCTTCCACGATTTCGACTAACCAAGTTTCCCTATCAAAATTGTCCTACTTATCGAGATAATCGTCCATCTACGCAGCGAGGACACGGTGATAATACAGGCTATGTATTTATTATGCGACTTGCGCATTACGGATATTTTAACCAACGCGTGTTAGCGCATATATTATGCCAAATACTTCGTACGTGCGATAAACAATTAACCACTTACATTATCATGTCTATAGTTATTGTAATGTCAGCCGATTATGAAATTGCCATACTTATTCAACTAGGATTTAAAGATTAATTCTGATCACTTTTTTTTCTCATTTGAAGTACGTTCGTGTACGTTCGCAATGCAATGCACATTGTTCGGTTTACATCATAGATCCATTTTAAAAATTTTTATTTGAACAAAAAGAAATTACGTAACTCCCCAAAATTATTCATTTCCTACGAAATAATAGAGAATTTTTTATTTAATTTTCGTACTATATAATGATTACAATTTGGCAAAAGTTCAAAATAAAATAATATGCTTACTTGAATGTGTGCCTATATATCAAATATAAATTTGTATTAAACTTACAATAAAAATGACAAACATTTACACATAAATATAAACGAAGCATCATTTCATTTAACAAAAAGAAAAATAGTACATTAGCATTATAACAAAATAATATTTATTCGCAGAAAGTTTCTACTCTATATTAAAATAATATACGGTTAACTTTGGTCTAAATGCGCCATTACGGTTTCGTTTGGTCTAAATGCGCCATTACGATTACAATTATCAAGAATTTAAATATTGATATAGGGTTAAAATATACAGATATGTTATATACATTAAGCATAAAGCACTATTTTGTTTATTAAATTGTTTATTAAATAACAATAATCAATGTGGGAAATACGAAAAATATCATATTAAAAATACGTATGTTGTAATTTATGAATAAGTAAAGATATGAAATAAAATATAAAAATTGGAAGATTTAAAGAGAAAGAGAAGTATTTTAAGTGTTAGAAAATACTGTAAGTAAATTATTAAATGCTTTATAAGAATACAAGATTTAATCATTTAAATATTTAATATTTAGAAGTTATTCGTATTTTTTTAAATATATTTTTACACATGAATTTTGTAAATACTTTAATACCATACAGTCGTTATATAATGTAATTGACTTTAAAGGAATGTATTTGATGTTCCTATATTCTTGAACGAATTATTTAAAGAATTATTAATGAGTTTAATAATAAATAAAATTATGAAAAGATAATATTAAAAAATAAGTGCTTAATAGTTCAGAACTCTGACATTTAATGAACTTAACCTCAATTCTTTATTTTGTTTCAGCAATAAATGATTTTATGTCTGATGATAAGTATTATCTATATAAAATGTTACGATCGTCAGAAATGTTTAAATTTCTATTTAATCCGAGTAAATTGCTTTTAACAAAGACTGATTTCAATATAAATCAATGTGTGGAGAATAATTTTTTATGGAATCAGACTATAAATTTTAGTAAAAATTACATAGATAGTGAAGAAGGAGAAAAAGTATTAAGAAAAAAAGCTCCAAAGATTTGTAAAATTACGCTTATACATCCGAATAAAACTCTTTCTGTTACTACATTGGAAGAAGCAGAAAAACTAGCTAAACGGAAAAATTTTCAATTAGTATTTGTAGCTGATTCGTCTAAAAATGATAGAAAAGTTTATCAACTTAAAGATTCTTCAATGCTTGATGAACTTACAAACAATGTAGAAGAAATAGTTGAAATGAAACAAAAAATAAAGACTACTAAGTTGTTTACTATAAAACACTCTACAATGGACCATGATTTAGATATAAAAATTAAGAATATTAATAACATATTGAAAAAAAATTTTAAAGCTAAAATATTTTTTAATCACCCTAATGGACCTCGGGTAAGTGTTAATTATAGTTATTTTTGATACTGAAAAGAGTTTTATAAGCTAAATTAAACTAAATTAAACTATACTTGTTATCCATATTTCATTAATATATTCTTATCATTATTATTAATTTGCAGGAAGAGACATTAGATTATATAAAAAAAAAAGTAAAAGGAGTTATTTCAGAAATCCAAGAGAAAAAGGGTACTACCATATTTTTATTTCTTCCTGTATTAAATGATAAAAATATTTCTTCAGATGATAGTAATAATAATGATGTATTTCAAAAGTAAAAAAATTAATAAAATTATATATAGCTTATATGAATGTATTTAGTTATAAATTAATATATATTATATCATACATAGATCTAGATTTTGTGAAATTGTGTAATATAAATTAATTATTATATACAAAGAATGGATTATACCTTATTTAAAGTTAAAATATATAAAATATATAGTAATTTCCAATAATATGATTTAATATATTAAATAATAAAGTAATTTTATATATTACATATTGTATTACAATATACATTATAAAACTACTGATTTTTAAATCGAAATGGTTTCTTAAAGAGTAACTAACATATTTAATATTTAACATATTTTGGATAATTCTCATAGAATGCCTTATTTCAAATACGAATTTGGAAAATTGCTCTAGTCATCAGTTTTTAAAAAACGCGAATGTTTGCAAGAATACACGAGTTTTGTTATATCAATACTATATTGATACAAAACGTTATTAAATTTTGTAGTTCTAAATGATTGAATATTGTCATTGAATTTTAAAAATAATCTTATATTTTATAAAATTATTTTGCCACTATGTCACATTGCTTTTCAACATACAATATTGTCCACAAAATTATTTATAATGTGGTAATTTTAATCTAATACGTCCATTGATGTCCATCACGTTATTTTTGTTTGATAAATGAGTCATTGGTCACATGGCGGCGAAATTCTGTTTTGACGAAAACATATGATCTTTAAAAATTGTAGTTTGTATTGGAGCAATCTTATTCCTGTGTTTGTTTCATATTTGGAATATGATATTTTATAAGGATTAGGAGATACATTGATTAAAATTCGTATTGAACAATGTTATTAATATATTGGTGACTATATTCATACTACATGTATAGAAGAGAACAAAATTTTGAATTTCATTTGATATAATAGCAGAATCGTTATTGTCAGACATATCCAAGTGAATAAAGTAATATAGTTGTGTTTTATTTAATATAATAAGTTGTTATTATTTAGCGATATGTGATATATACTATTATCCTAAATAGAGTTGAAGAAAAAACAAAAAAAACTATGATTAATAAATTGTGTAAACAATAAAATGTTACTACAATTATTTATTTGAAATATAATATATTAAATTCATTTTGTTTGAAAACAGTATTGAATTAAGTCTTTGGATAATTGTGTGTGTGTGTGTGTGTGTGTGTGTGTGTGTGTATGTGTGTGTGTGTGGTATGTATATGTACATACACACACATACACATACAAGAACTGTCTTATTTATAAATGTTCTTTCCATGTTAATAAAATTTGTCCAATTAATTTTACTTACATCTTAAATATAGAATTTTAATAATTTAATTCTAATTAATAAATTTGATCTTAAATTGAGATCTATATTTTCTTAAATTGTATATAATAAATGCCACAAATGTATATTTCATAATAATACTCTTACAGATAAATATATGTATTGCTACTATACATAGATTGTTTCAGTTTCTAAAATATCTGAAAAACAGTATATTTTGTAGTAATAATTTAAATATAGATTTACTGCATATTTTCTTTACATAAAACATATACTGTTTCTTTATTTTATATATTTTTTATAAATAATTGGAATGCAGTCCTCTTTGACTGAAAAATTTACTTACGTGTAAATTCATATGTAATATATATGTAATTATATATTATAATTACTTATATATATAGTTGATTTTGATATACCATAATCCATCATAATGCACATCTATCGTTTTTCAGTATTAAATAATTCAAAAGAATTAAAACAAAAAAATAGATAAAAAATGTAGCACAATAATTTGTGCGTGTGTATATATTAATTTCGTTTCAAAAATTATCATATAAATATAAATATTCTATATTTATCTATAAACAAAAGAGTTTTTTCAATGCATGTTCAATTTAGTACTATTTTAGATATATCTTGCAACTTAAGATAATTTTGTTTTTCTTAGTTTCAAATTTTACGATTAAAATAATTGAAAAAAAATTAAATACCAAGATATTATGTATCAATGTATCAAGCATCTTCGAAGCTAGTATTGTATATTGTATTATAATTAGACAGGTACTGATTGTCATTTTTTATTTGTAATATTTGAAAATTTTTTGGAAAATACGTCATTTCAGGAGATTGTAATATTTTATAATCATCTTTATCATGTATAATTGTAAAATTCTATTGTATTTCACGCTAAATCATTACTGTGCTTGATTTAATGATACATAAATAAAATACATAAATAAAATTTCAAATTTAAATATATTAAAGACAAGGAAGTAAAATAAAAAATGGATATGTAAAAGATATGGATGGACATCTTATTATGGACATCTCCTTGTATGACATTTTCTGTACTCTATCAAAGAAGGGCAAAGTTTACTTTTTAGACCAAGGGGTTGAACTTTGACTATTCTTGTTCTATGCTGTGATGCTTCCCCACAAGTGGCTGTACAATGTGACCATTTAGACCACTGTGTCATTTTACAGTCAACTGAAACTAATCACGTGAATAATATATCCATTGAAAGCGCAGACACAGAAATGTTGATTTCTGTGACTGTAATAAAAATAGTTTGTTGGTCTTTCTAGCAATCGTTTTTAGGATAAAATGTTTATCCAATTAAAGATTTTTTTCTCAGCATCCATATCATAAAATCTATTGCTTTAAATTAAAAAATATGTTAATTAATCAAAACTTACTCTGATTTTGTTCTATATCAAATCCTTGATCACGATATGTACGTCGTCTTGGTTCATCAGCTTGCAAGGCTACGAATTTCATTTTTATTTAGACAATTTCCGAGTAAATCGGATTCAATTATTTTATTTTCTGGTACTTACAACATGACGAATCCTTACGACATTTTCTTTTACGATATAATTTTGTCGGACATCGTTTACCTTTACCTCTATGTGGTACCTATTTAAAAATAATGTAATAAATTATTTAATCATTACATGAATATATTATATGAATATTGGAAAGCATTTTATCGAATCAAATAGTAACATTTCAACATTCCGATGTTCATTTTCCTTTTAATTATAAAAATTTGTTTACCTTGATTTCTCTTGTACTATTTTTATATCCACGACATCCTGCACACTTGGACCAACTACTCCATTCGGATACCTGACAGTCAACATCTTCCGCATTATAAGATGATTTCATTTGACTGTCTGCTTCGATGCCTTTAAATTTCAATTTCTCTGTAAGGAGATATTACACATTGTATACTATATTAACAAAGGAAATTTATAAATTCGCAAGCAAATTGAAATGTAGAAATTAATAATAATAAACGAGCAAATAAACTTATCAATAACGTATCGAGCAAGGAATATTGAGTTTCAATCAAATTACACAACGTAATTACGCTTCTTTTCGTTTTTTTTAAATCGATAATCTGTGACATTGGAATTGGAAAGACACGTAAAGCGATTTGTAAGACGAAGTAATGCAATTTGTTAATTAGCATCACCGTGGTGTGCTCGCTTTGTCTTCGTACTGCGTTGTCCCTGTGCAGGTATGTGATAGCTGAGAACGCTGCTGAGGGAGACCTTATAGTTTTTCGTTGACAAGTTTGTCCTTAAATCTCCTATATTTTTTTTTCAATAAGCAAGCGTGCGCAGAACAAGGATGAAGATTTTGTTAAATAAAGTTTTTTTTTCTTAAAGCAAAAATAACATGTAATTACTTCCATTTTAAAGCGTGAAGCCTCTATTTTGATAGTTCTGAGTTCATTTTTTTTCAAAAATGTTTTTACTAGAAAAGTAAGGATACATTTGTAGAAAATTCAAACGTCTTTGGAAACATTGAAAAATGTTCTTCATTACTAAATCTACCATGGTCTTGAAGATTCTTTTCACGATTGTATTTTATTTTTTCTTCTTCTAGAGACGTTTGTATTGTAAAAACAAGTAGTCCTTTTGAGGAAAACTTAGGATTGTCAAGATAGAGGCATTAAGCTTTAAAGTAAGATCAAGTTTAAAATCGATCATTCTTCGTCGTTCAGTTATGCTCTTCACTGCAGGAGAAAGCTGAATCACAAAAGGAAACTTACTTTGATAATCATCGCAAACTTTCTTGCAATCTTGCTCGGTTGGGAAATTATTTTCATTCCCGTCGCAACCGGAATACTTGAACGATTTACATCCCTTCTCTTTATCGAAATACCATCGGATGATATTACTGTTGCATCGTCCTTCCTCCTTTGGTTTTTTGCAAAATTCTGAAATCAGTTTACATTTCTCTTCTCTCATTTTTAAATAAAAGAAAAAAATATTTTCCTCTTTAATTAATGAAAATCTACATGTTCGATTATTTTTTCTACTTTTCTACTTTCGTGCTTTGTACTTTGAATGAACTTGCGTTCATTCGATTTAGTTTGAATTTTTGTAGAAATCGGGTGTCACGAAAGTGTAAGAGGGGGAAAAAGTGATCGATATTTATGGAGCAAAATGGTAATCGCAAGTTAGAGAACGTCGTCGTAGAATCAGGATAAAAGAAAAGCTAAGTGCAAGTCAAGTGCAGTGCGTCGTGATGATGCTTAATTGCAACTGCTGCAGCTGTTAAGAAGTTGCTCTAAGATTATGAGCTGCTCTTGCTGTTTATAAAAGAAGCTAATATAATTTTAACACGTTGACTGCCACGGTGATCACTGACGACCGACGTTCTTATTTCATATAAATATTTTAGGACGATTGAAACAAGTTTTAAAATAGTTTGAATAATATTAAATTATATAATATTAAAATTTGGTAGATATTTCTTAGCTTTCGTACCTTCTGCTTCTTCTTTCGTGAAATTACACGTTGCAATTTTGGCTTGACAAGGAACTGCTTCGTGCTTGCACTCTGTGGGATCCACGTCATCATGATGCCAATCCTCATGGGTCATCCTAAATCTTGTTTGGGTACCGCTACCACAGCTAGAACTGCACGGTGACCACAGGGACCATTGCATGTAACGCTCTTCGACGCACTTCTGATTAAAAAATTAACACGATCGATGAATTAGATAGATTCTTAATTCGGCTGTTAAGATATCTGATATATCTACTTTCATTTAATCTCCACTTAATCTTATTATTTAAATGATCTTAAATAATAGTTCCAATAGTTAATTTGTTTTTTAAACATGTGTACAATCATTTTTCTATCCTTAATTCATATTTAATTTCTTTCGTTCAAGGTTCTACTCATTAAATTTAATTATCACTAGTATCCTTCAAATAAACTTTCATTTTTCATCTTTCTTTTTTCCAACATGTTAGAAGATGAAGAAGAAAATGATAAATAATAATTTGATTAATTGAATTTTCTACATTTAAAATTCACAGAAAAGGTTCTAGCGATTGGACGTAATTATCACCTTTAAATAAATTTTCAGTTTTATTTTTTCTTTTCTAAGCCACGAAAGGAGAAAGAGCTAGTCACTATGTAACGTCAAGCAAAAACATACACATACGAACTAAACGATGTCACATACGATGAATGTTAGTCGACTGCATTTATTACAAAATTTCATATCTGCGTGACGAAGTATGCTTAGGAGATGACGTTATTAAATATTGAAATATGAAGTAACAAATAAGAGTGAATAATAGTGCTCGACAAGCATAATTTAGCTTAATTCTGCGAGTGAGCAGAAGGAAAATGAAAATTGTTTCTTAAAGAAGGCAAGCTGGACTAATTCTCGTTCAGTTTAAATATCAATTGGCTGGATTACTCGTTCGCTTCTAATTCATCTTCAGTAACTAGAGAGTTAATTGATCACTGATTTCATTTTCCTTGTGATTAAATCGCTCGACTTACGTGATGATGCCAGTGGATGGTTCTGCGAGAAATGGTTCACATATGGTTTTATAGTTACTCACGAGTGGAATCGATTATTCCGAACAATTCGAAATTCGTTAGTGATGATAGATGTACAGTGAAGATCACAACTGTACCACTAACGATGAAACATTGTCGATATTTTTAAACTGTTATAACTTTTTCAGTTTTTGCATTCCACAGTTCATCCTGTAGCGGGATGATACAAATTGTACAAATATAAACGTCTCTAAACAGACTGAAAAATTTGTTTCATCATTAGATTTACAATGGTTTTGACGATTGAGGTCTCCTCTTTACAACAATCATTTAAAACTTGTTTCATGATTTTTTTTTTTTTTGTCATTTCATTGAACTTTGAATATTAGGATTAGACGATAAAATGTTAGGATTTCTTCGATTTAATCCTATTCAAAGTTTAAGTGGTGGATCCTGTCACGAAACAAATTTTTTAATGTTTTTACAGACCTTTGAATTTTCATAATCTTCAAGAATAAAAATATCCTTATTTTTCCACCTGTCTTTTACACGATGTAAAAAATATCTTTAAAAGAAAATGAACTCAATACTATCAAAAGTAAATTACAACAGTTAAAAATATCGTTAATTTTTTTTATCATTAGCAGCAATTAATATATGCTCTTCGCTGCATGCATATAGTATGCAAGATGTTCTACATAACGTAGCACAAGCATACTACATTATGCGGTCCAACTTGCATCGAAACGACTTTCAAAATGTAATTATTATTTGTCGCTGCGATGATCGAGTTCGACGATTTTGTTAATAATAACATACGACAAGCACAATTCTGTCAAATTTAGTAGTTTCATTTTCTACTGCCCTTGTTTTTGAAAGTTACGTGTTTTGCGAGGTTTGTGCTAGTTAGACTGACAATTAGTAAGATCTTGTAAACTATCAGAGGATTCTGTACTTGCGACCATTCCTCGACCCCATCTGACGCCGGTTCGTCCTCCTCGTAATCTTCTCTGTTACCATTGTCCTCATCGTTATCATTCTCGTCCTTTTGGTCAGGCGACTCGCTTACCTCTTCCCCATTCGTTTCATCGCACTCCGGATTCTCGCAGTCGCGTGTTTGTTGAAGTTGCTCTTTGCTATAGGAGGATCTGCAGTGTTTGTGCTTCTTATACTTGAAAGATCTTGTTCTGGTGCTGATCCCGGGGCCGCAGGTCGTCGTGCACTGGCTCCACTCGCTCCATTCGCGCAGTACCTCCGACTCGCTGCATCCTTTTTCTGGCTTTCGCTCACCGTTGCTGCGGTTTTACAAACATTATTGACGTTGTTATTATCTGAGAAAGGGAAACAAGCGTTTTGAATAATTGATCTGTTAGATCAAAAATTAGACAAACTTCAGAATATCGATGATGTTTCTTGTGATCTGTTTAAAAGGCATACGAATAAATCGAGAACACGATCATCCTACGTATGTACAACAAAGTGGATGAAACTTCTCTCTTGATTACAAATAATTTTGATAGTAATACATCTTCTATACCATGCTTATGACAATTGTACAGCAAACTTCAATTAATTTTTACCTTCGAATAAAATAAATAAATATAAGGAACATCCTCATTTTTTCAGAATTTGTTTGATGCTAGCAAATCACTTGTAACAAACATTATAACAAGGAAATACATTACCATAAGTGAATTAAATAAATGTGTAGTGGCGAACAAAAGAAAGTTTAAAATTGATCTATTACTTGTGAATAAACAAAATTTGTAGTAAACATCATTTCCTCGTATCAAACATCTGTCTGTTCGTTCCTCTTGTCAATTTTAATTTAGTTTCATAAAGTTAAGGACGATTAATTTTTAAACTTTCATCATTGGCCATCACTGTGTTTCAACACCTAAATCTATCTATGACAAGTGATCGACCGAATCTGAGTTTTTATTAAAGCAAACGATAAATCTGAGTTTCTATTAAATCATGGTAATTACCACTGATGTCCGTGACATGGACGCTTATCGCTTAATGAGACATTGCATTTGTTCTCAGTTGCAGCCGCGGTGTCCTCGTAATGTCTTTGTCTGAGCTGATTGCCACGACCACACGCCGTCGAACACGCGCTCCAACTACCCCACGGTGTCATTTTGCACGCTCCTATATTTGTAATCAGACATATGTTACAAATTACAACATCTACTTGTCAATGTCATGTCTAAAAATATTCTCTTACAAATCTTCAAAATTTGATATCTGAATTTATTGTGAGTCGATCGTCAAAATTGTTTAAAAATATTATTTAACCATTTATATAGGCTATATTTGATCTAAACATTTTTATCATTATTCATACAGTAGTATGAAATCTTTTATTCCTCTAATTTTGTTCAGATTTCTTTTCTTCCCACGATAATTTGCAATTCTTTTTATTATTTTTACCTATACACTATACGTGGCCATATTGTATATTCTTGCCAGAGACCATTCTAAGCATTGAAATTTAACAAACGATTTCTGGTACAAGTACACTGATCATGCCCTAGACTATATAATAAGAATGATCATGTTAGAACCGAAAAAAAAAAGTAATTTTTTCACAATTCAATTTTCTTTTCATTGCCCTTACACTATTGCTCTATAGAGGGTTGAAATACATTTCCAATGGAAGAAATTTTCATTCAACGCCTTTCGAAGAATGACGATCGCGAGCAGAGAACGAAAGGAGATTAATAGGAAAGCGATATTTGTTGTCTTTGCGTTTACTGTTAGGTATCCATGCCTGAGGATGATGCCGCGTCTTCTGGTGTATTCTCGCAGGCTTTCTCGTAAAGCCTCTGCCGGTTTAAGTAAAGCCTGGCCAGCGGTTTCATATCTAGGCCGGAAGGATCGTAGAACGGAGACCTCGAGTCGTTCGGGTAGCTCGAAGTTATCCTGCGAATAGGCTCCTGCGGCTCGGTTGGCGAATCCGGTGACTGCAAACGCGAGGAATTCTCGTTTATTTCACGCCTGCGTGTGAAATTCGTAATTCGTAATTATCAAGAAATTTTAAACATCGACGACGACATTAAATTGACCAGAAACTCGCTGAATATCTTTCTTTACTCTATTATCTTACTGCAACGAGTAAAAAGAAAAGTCGACGAAGAATTGTCAATATTTCAGCAGCACCTTTAAAAGAAGAATTTTAAGGAATCATCGTAGAGGAGAGACTTCAATCTTCAAGACCATGGGTGGGTTTAATTCTGAAAATGTTTGAAAATTTTCGAAGTGAAAAGTATCTTTACTTTCAAAATGATGTGGAAAACATTTTTGGGAAAATATACGAGACATTGTAAAAGTAGAAACTTCAAGCTTCAAAACGAGCCCGATCGTTTCTTCTTCGTTAATCAATTTATCTTATTCTGTTCGAATTCAATTCAATTTCTCTGACGTTAACGAATTATCTTTCATTCCTCGTTATTCTGCTTCAGAATATCTGCGTTTGCATTGTTTCGGGAAGAATCACGGGCACGCGAACCGTTGAATTTCGGAGAATAGAAAGGGCGGAAATGTCACGATGTGACGAGGAAAATTCTCGGTCGGCTCGGGAAAGCGTTGCAGGGACGTTTACTTCAACGCCCCGTCAGCGATTTTCACAGCGACTCGCAGACCCTATTGTCAATTGTTAGGCTTGAGGCCTTGCCGTCGAATTTATTATGTCGATTTTCTGAGATCGACAGCTGGCATTCATTTCTCGTTTCCTCCCGAGCGAATATTTTTTTTCGCTCCGCGTCGAGAGATACTACTACTCTGGAGTTTTTCCCGCCAAAGGGGAAATCTTCTTTCCGCCATCAGCGAAAATCTACAATCTCATCCACATATTATATATTTATTAATCCAGACTTCAGATTTTTATCCATTTTCAAATTTTTATGAGCATTACTGAAAAGAAATAGAACAGTATATATTGCTAATGATACTCTACTCTAGATATTTCATATATACTTCTGCATATAAATTGATATACGTTTTTTTGCAATTTTCCACAGATGCATGAAAATCCGCAGTCTACTTATTAAATACTATTATTTTGAAAATAGTGTGTTTTTTTTTTTTGAAAATAGTGTAAGCTTTTTTTTTATTTTGAAATATTGAAGTCTTTGCGTTTGCATTGATTGTGAAATGAAATTTCTATGTCTTTTACCATAACTGATAATGAGATTGAATACTCTGAAATAGGGAAATTTTTTTATTTGTATCATTCAAGTTTCATATTCACTCCATCAAATTTATACAAACTTTTGTATGCGATTTGAAACACATTTCAATCCTCCTAAATAAACATATTCAATTAAGATACATCTGTAAAATTAATCTTCAACTTTCTTCAATCATTGCTTTCTCATTTATTCTATTATTGACTATTTTATTAACTGTATACGTTACAATTAAGAATGAAGAACACAATATTTGAATTGTATTTTATATATTTAAAATTGTTCAAATGCTTATGCACGATAGTGTGTATTTTTATAGAAATCGAATATTTTGTTCTGTTAATGAAGAAAATATTTGAAAAAAAAAGATTTCCCTTACCAAATACGTGATCCCACTATCAGTACCCACATCGTAAGGGTATAAATTAAGTTCTTTGTGCTCAATCCAGGAGGAATTAGACAAGCACAATTCCAAACCTGAAACTCCGACGATCCAATCCGGCGAAGGATCTGCAAAATCATTTTTAGTATTTTCGCATTTTTTAGTAGATTATTGAACATGATTATTTGACAAAATTTTATCAATCGACTGTGATTTAGAATTCTTCATTGGAACATATAAAATATTTAAAACTGCCAGGAACAATTTTTGTCTTTTCGATTAGAGGATAGTTTTTCTTTCTTTTTTTTTTTTTTTTTTCATTGAAAAAGTGAATTAACAACGTATTTTTTCTTACCAATCATAGATACCAAAGACATCAGATGGTGTTTTCGATCAACACGGAAAACTGCGAATGTTTTCCCAGTAACATTGGGATAACTTATTCCCCTGGCTTTGATTATTGTTCTGATCTTTTTACTCTACGAGAAAGTAAATTATTCGTAGATTAATATTACGTTAACATTAACATTACGAAATTTACGCAAAATTAAAATCAATATCACAATTCAAAACGAGAATTTGTTTGATTATAAAATAATAATAATTTCAAGTGACTGTAAATGATTTTATTAATGACGTCGATACTTCAAATTTTTAATAAATGATATCAATCCAAACTAGTGGTAAAAGTTCGTGGCCTTTCGTGAACTTTAAGCCTTTAAGAACTATAGTAATAAATTTAAAAGAATCTCTGGAAATGGATAACAAGTTAGATGAGGAAAACAAGTAACAAAAAGTTACTTAATGACGATGAATTAATTTACTTGATTTTTTAATTCTGATTCCAATTTCCTGGTAGACCCAAGTTCAGCCAGTTGTTGCAAACCGGTGCTGGCCAGACCGTTGTATTTCCAAAACCTGTAATCCACTGTATGTGACGCTCCGATCACGTCTGAGAATCGAATAAGCCATCCTTTGCTAGGAAAATCCTGAAGAAATGAAAAAAAAAAAGTTCGAAACAAAGAGAATAAACAAGATTACACGAAATCGCGTTGGGGCGCGTACAGTACAATTACGATTCTTCAGTAATCGCAAACTAAACGCATGCATCACGATGACAGTTCTTATTTCAATTTGACCGAATATCGAAAATCGTTGAAATACGAATGCGTACAGATGCGATTCTGTATCCATTGGAAACGTTTCCTCTACAGCGTTTGTTACACAATCGAGCTGCACACCGCCGCGAGTTAAAAGAAAGTTTCGCGAAACTTTCTTCCGACCCATTTTCACGTCGTCAAGTAACTCGCGGTTTCACCCCAATATCAATAAAACAGGATCCCGTCTTTTTATCCAGCATCAAGAATTTTAACCAAAATTGAAATAATTTCTCCAACGTATTCTCCTTAGTTCACTATAATTTTCTCTTATAATTCAGTCATAGTTGAATTTTATTTGTACAGCAAGGAGTATGTATGACTGAACCAATAGCGCGACGTTACAAGAGAGTTCAAAGGTTGACTATCTTTCGATTAATTTATTAATTCTTTAATTTTTTAGAATTTAGTAAGACAGTAGTAAGCCATACATATACATATTATATATTACATACATGATATGTAATAAATTATACATGCATGTTATATAATATGTGTTATATGTTAAATTATAAATATATTATATATTCCAATATGTTAATGTATTCATATAAACTAATCCGTTTCTCGTATAATTTCATCCACAAAACATTTTTAAGGATCTCATTCCCGTTAAAGTAAACCGCAGGTAATTCATCCTATTCCAACTTTAATAAAGAAGAAGAAGAAGAAGAAGAAGAAGAAGAAGAAGGAGAAGAAGAAGAAGAAAAGGAAGAAAGTTTCGAGCAAAGAGAAGAAAGGAGGAGAGTTTTCTCATCGAGGAGACGTCGACGCTTTAAACAAGAAGATCGATAGCGGGTTCTATGCATTTCTGTTTGTCGATTTTATTTGACAAGCTCTCTCTCACGTGCCTTTGGGTGAGTATTTCTAGACCAAAGTCCCTCGAAAGTAACTTCGTACTTGGCCTCCTCGCAGGCGCAGCACTTTTTCAGAACCTGTCCCTGGTCGTCCGCTTCGGCCTTCGAGTCTTGACATATCTTTATCCCTAAGTTCTGATCGTCCATGTACCATGTATCCGGCGTCTCCAATATCGTCGCCCTATGAGAAAAACAAGTGGAAGAACACGTGTGAACACCAGGCTCGCCGCCCCGAGATTTTATTAATTCGAAGTGTCAGCGTTCGGCGAAACTGGCCGAACCTTTCAATTCAAGAGAGAGAGAGAGAGAGAGAGAGAGAGAGATACTGTTATTAGTGTAATGCTTACTTTATTTTCATAGATTTCATTTGTTATTATATATTCCCCATATTGATGCCTCTTTTCATAAAAAAATATACAAATGAAATATTTTTATTGTATCATGAATATTTTCCTACTCCTTTCATTTCCCTGATACGAGTTTCAATCGTTGATTGTCCTAATATTAAAACGATTTAAAATCCCGTAACTGTACAAATATAATCATTTCCAGGAATGATTTTCATTACATGAAATTGAAAGCACGTAGAAAGATGCTGTGTGTGTGCAAAGTAGTCCCGTAATAATTGCAACTAATTTCATCTCACTGATTTCCAACGAATTATATTTGATTGCATGGCGCGGGGAAAGGGGCACCGATTGAATAATTCAATTGCCATATTTCCATGCAAGATTACGCATCGTTTTCATGCTTGTTATTAAAATATCCCTTCACCTGATAAATATGCAACCGCTACCTTCGGAAGGGCTGGTCCACGCCACGGAAATCTCTTCTTTGGCAACCTTCGAGGTCTCCACAACGGCATTCGGACAAGTCTCGGAGTACCTCGACAACGTCTCCTCTTGGAGATCGAAGATGCCGCTCTCTGCCGTGTCGTCCTCGCTCTCGGGCTCGACGGATATCAAAAACCTCGTGAATTTTCGTGGCAGGACGCCAACACCGTCCGACTGCACGGTCACTGAAACAAAAAAGTTCCATTCCATCCTCTTTTTCTCTTTTTTAAGAACACACGCAACATTTCGAAATTTCATTAGCATCGCGACACGGAGGATCAATTAAGGACAGAGAGTTTGAAAGAAAGTTCGAAAATTCTTAGAGAAATCGTAAGACGAAAGAATTGCGAAAGTATTGAAATAGCCAACTATTACAACGTTACAATGACGAGCCTTAAACAACGTTTAACACTCGTTCGCAGTAAAATTCCGCTTACACGAACTTGTCGAGGCGCAAACAGTTATACAACACGAGTCCATTGATTCTCCTCTCTCTCTCTCTCTCTCTCTCTCTCTCTCTGCTAGTAATTTTCGTTCGTATAATGGGAGTTTAGGTTCAAATACCTGGCTGGTGAATTCAACCGGCAAGAGTTCATTTAATCGGGTATTGACTAAAATTTGCGTTCAAATAAGCGGAGTTCGCATAAACAGAGTTCTAGTACCGGCGCATATAACTTCAGATGGCTATTCATGGCTGTATATTAATTCTTTATTAAACGTACGTATGCGATAAACTATGTCGTAGCTTCCGTATATACATTTTCAGATTGGTTTGAAGCTTTGCCAATAGAAACCATGACGGTCTCGTTACGGTGGCAATGAAATTTTGAAATATTTCACGAAACTTACATGGAAGTTTTTTTCCCCCTCTATGATAAGCGTTCGAATACTTTCGTGAGTATCGTTTTGATTATATTTATGAATTGCTCCTCGCCGAGCAAGGCAGAGAGACTGTATATTACGTACAGAAATCAAATTCAATGTTTTCTTTTTTCCCATTGAATTTAAGAACTGAAATACATAGTTATTGAATGTAACTTTTCTCAAATAACTTGTTCTACAATAGCGAACGATTCAAGAACAATTTTCAAAAAACTAGCAAGGAATGATGTGATATGATTACGATAAATGAATGGCAAGTTTCGAATTAATCTCTGCACCTAGTGAATTGTAGTAATTCGAAAAAGAGTTAGATACGTCGCAACGATGTAACGGCGAATTGTTGCTGCGCGTATTTTTTTTTTTTTTTTTTTTTTTTTTTTTTTATTGCACACGTTAAATCGCGCGTCTCGTGTAGATTTCTGCAAAGCGTATTAAATTCTCACGGTTTGCAAACTTCCGCAACTTGTCGGATTTGTTTGATACAAACACGCTACGATGTAGAATTTTGTCACGCTGTTTTGTTGGAAGTAGCTTCTTGTCTCTCTTTCTCTCTCTCTTTTTTTTTGTTTTTTGTTTTACGTAGGACAGGTATAATCAATTTCTGGCACTTTTTAAAATTGAAAACGGCCAGAAATTGAGAATTTCAATTGCACGACCGCGTGTTTAACTTGATGTATGCATTTTTTATTTTCATCGATATCGTGAATATTATTTAACGCTCTGCGCGTTACATATAATTGTTTACCTCAACTATTTAATATGTTATAACGTAGTTTAGAGATACATGTATTATTGGATATTGATAAGCAGTGTGTTACATTTCGTTCAGTTCATGTGTTAATACGATTGAGTACAGTAATATGCCAATAATGTAAAATTTACATTATATTGTAATATAATAAATATTAATGTATCTCATCGTGATATATTAACTCTTCATTATCCTATCACCTTGAGGTCATGCAGATACTGATATGTCTGATCTCTTTTTCTCTATTAATTACTCCTAGTTTATTTATTATTAGATTGTCAATCTTTAATTCACACGTAAAGATGTAAAATGTTCCTTTTAGAAAAGAATTTTTGAAAATTATCAACTCACTGTGGCTTTGTATTCAGAGATTGATATTCAAATTTATTTTTCATTCGGCCGAAAAGCTCGGGCTACAGAGGATTAAAGAATTTCGACGAGACAAAAACGAGTATCCGATTCAGATAATTCCTATTTTGTCGTCGAATACGATGTTATTTCTTTTTTCTTTCGTTCTTTTTTCAGTCGAATCAAAAAATCGTATTTGTCCGCCAACGTTGTGATTTTTACATCGTACGAACGTTGTTCCGCGATGCGAGTGGAAAATTCGTGTGTTTATATAATCTCCATGTATCAAAGGAATATTCGTGTGTCCGAAATAGAAGTATCGAAGCTCGTAGCCTCATGGTTATTTATAACTTGGATTAAATATGATATTTATAACTTGGATGTAACGTGGATTCAGTAAACTATCGAAGGTAACAATAGCTTTAAGAAACAACAGCGAAAAATTAATCGACACTCAGAGGGAACTGAACCGAGAGGATCCGGCCAGGCAGCAATTTTAAAAACTTTTTCGATTCTTTTTTTCGAACACAATTTTTTTCTTTTTTAAATTCTACATTTAATCTCCATAAATCACCAATTATATTTATATTCGAGTAATTTAATAACATTTGACGAATGTTAGGTCGAATAATTTAAAAAGCGAAATCGACGACTACTTAGTGAACGTGTATTTAACCTTTGAACAACTATGATTGATTAAACAATTAAATAACAATCTCGATATTGATAAGAACTGAAAGGCTTGTGATTTTTTGTGACAACTGAATTAAAGGTATCAAGCTAATTTCAAGTTATAATGAGAGAAAGATGAAAAGATAAGTGTAATGTAATAATACTATAATAAAAAAAAAAGATACACGATAGAAGAAAAGATGTATAAAGGATACGTGCTAAGATACTATAATAAGAAAATAATAAAAATGTTCAATTTATTGATTTTTTTCAAAGCCATTTCATCAAAGAAACAGAGGTACCGAAGAATTATTCTGCCCAGAAAAGCCTCGGGGATAACGAATTAATGTTTCGATTAAACATTTTCATGCAATTAAACGTTGACAAACGTACATTGGAAATGATAAATTAATGTATCTGATTCATTGAGGAAAATTACATTGGCTGCAGGCGCTGTGGTATTGAAGCCAATTGCTCTGGTTTCCTTTTTGCTCTTCTTTTTTTTTTCTCTGAGTTGATTCACATGGATTGTTATCGAAATCTTCGCGCAACCAGTCTCTGTTTTTATACAATAGCAATACTTGCATATACGTTATATCGAATGTTTACCTGAACATTGCCAGTCATCAGCAATTAATTTAAAACAAAAAAAAAAAAAAACAGAAGAAATTTAGAGTATTTGGGAAAAATCATTCAAAAATAAAGAATACGATAAAAAAGCATGCATATGGAGTAAATTAAGTTAAAAAAGATACATACTACGACATAGATTAATATGTATGCATGCATTTTTCTAGTTAAGAAAAATGATTATTAAATTACGCTCTTTAAATTTCATTAGAAATCGCGAGTGGCTCTAATTTTTTAGTCAGGTGCAGGCTGGCGCGATAAATATCGAAACTGATCGCGAGCTAGTCAAACGAAAGGAAGGAAACCATTTGTCCGAAAATTATGGAATTTCAAAAGCACCATTTTTTGCAGGCTTGAATTTTTATGGGAATATAACTTGCACTTGTGGTGAACGTTATCGAACAATGAATAACAAGTTCTGACGATTTAGTGAATGCAGTTAACTGTATAGAATTACACTGACGATTTAGTTATAAAATATTCCATTATATAATTCTTACAGCACATGATAAATCACTTTTATAAAAGTGGTTGAATAATTTTCTTTAATAAGAAATTGGTCAATTAATTTTGCTTGCAACGTTGATGTATAGATTTTTCATAGAAGTATGTACGTTAATTGTTTTCACAACAATACTGTCTATAAACTATTTTTATAAAATTAATTGTAACGTAACAATAAGATTCATTTTATCAAGAATGATCGAACAATCTTGTTTAATAAGTAACTATACTTTTGCTTACATTATTTTATATATCTGAAAAATATGCACGCTAGTTATGTTAATTATTTTCGTAACTATATCGTTGGTAGAAAGAACACTCTTATCTGATAGAAAAATAACCAACTGATCTGCTCACAATACTGTTCAAAATATTTATTATTCGAGAATTATGTTAATCGAATTACCAAGATCGTTTGCCGAGCGGTAACTTTTAGCATGTAAATCGACGAACATCGGCGAGTTTCCAATGCAACGGGGCAAGTTATCGAGTTCTTTATGGTTTTGTATGAACTTGAACGATTTCGCAAGCACCCTGTAGACACATGAAATTGTCCTTTTCCTTCCAGTCGATTTTCCTTCGCTTGTATAAGTGTACGCCAGGGACGTAACACGCAGATGTTTAGAGCATTTATGGCTTCCGGTATTACGGGTCTTCGCAAACTGCGTCTAGTTCACTGAATAACTCAGTTGTCACTTAAACGTTGGTCATAAATATTTTTCCGCGTGCGTAATTTCTTATCTCTCTCGTCGAAGATTTCATACTCGTTTCAAGCAATCTTCCTGATTGGGATTTGATTGAAGGGAAATTATAATACATTATAATGAAAGATTAGGAATCGTATAAGTTAGAATTAAAATCGTAATTAACTTGCAAATGTATAAATGTAATAAATTCTATTGTTTATTTTGTGAACAATGTACATATTTCTATTTAAAAAAAAGATAGTAAAATAAATATATTATTAAAATATATTGAATAATATAAAATAATCATATAAAAATACGACAACGATAAATTATATTATATATAAATGTTGTCGTGTCACGTGTGATATATTCAATGTCATTGAATAATCGTTTCACATCGTATTTTAAATTATACACGTGAAGTTATAAATAACTCTCTTTTCAGAAAACTGACTATTCATTGAAGAATATAGCGTGCCCGACAGAAATTCAAACAACCTTTTAATATTCGTGGAATCAGCATAAACCTTGTTATCTAGCATTTCGCAGCATGCCAAATTTAGCTCTTAGCAAATTTCCCGTTAAATAATTAACTTAATGTCCCCGGAAAGAATAGTTTTCAATTAATTGAAATTACAAACACTCAATTATTCCCGACGTTCGATTGAGCTTCGAGTAATTTATAATTTGCCAAAATTTTCTAGTCGCAATGGAGTCTGGAAACTTTGAAAAAC